CGACCGTCTGATTCCAAGCTACGTACTTAGTGAATGTTCGCGTAGTACATGACTATTTGTTCGCAGAAGAGGTAGGTAAGGTAGGTAATAAATAAACGATATCCAAAGCTCTCTCATACACAACACACAAATAGTTCCCGAGGGTAAAGTTTTAATTAAACGCGTACGTGTCTCGTTTACGTACCGTGAAATAATTACTCTTTTGTGCTTGTTTGCAAAAAAATAGGATTAAAGCGTTGTGGCGTGCTTCATATAATTCTACTAATGTTTTGTTATTTATAGCTTTCTAGATATTTCCCGCGCCGCCGAGAAACACATCAACAGCCTTTAATAGTCCACTGCTGGACATAAGCCTCTCCTTAGTAAGGAGGTTTTGGCCTACTATACCACGCTGGCCAGACAGGTTGGTATAGGGTTTGTGCCAAGTTTTCCTTCTCTTTGCAGTGCTATTGTCCTGCGTAGATTGCTCCCTTAGTCGCCTCTTACGACACCCGCGGGATGAATAGGGGTGGTGACACTCTGTATTCTTATCCCTATGGGAGAAAGAATTTTTAAATTCTGTTAAGTGGTTTAGGGGTGAAACCGTAACTTTTACAATATAATTATGGATTATTCTTGTTCACGTATCCTGTACGCGATTCCTGCCACTTCGAACGGGTGCAGGCTCATTCGCGATGCCCATTCGAGACTTGTGATATTCCTTATTGTAAATCTCTTGTCTTACCATTTTATCCCTTCGTTTCTTCTCCAAGCGAATATATTCTTTAAGACGATTGGCGTCAGGCAATCAACCAGTCATAAAGAAACCAGACAAAACCCTTTGTCAATGTTACTCATTGCGCTGATTTCGAATACAATTGACTGTGTGTGCTACAGTTTGTAATAGACAAAAACGTATTTATTGGCTTAACGTATTTATTTTACTATTCTTTAATTTTAACCTTATATCAGTGACTATTTCCGAGGTAGAGCCATGCTTTGGCCCAAGTGGGCTGACTCGGCTGATCTGATAGAAAACATTAGTGCAATCCTTTCATTACTTTCCATTAGTGAGGTTTCCGGAGCCCTAACCTGATTTCGGAGAGGGCTCAAAGGTTGCCAATGCTCTAGTGACCCTTGAGTTCAAGGTGTCCATGGGCAGTGGTTGTCACTTACGATCAGATGGCTGCTCGTTTGCCCTCCTATGCTATAAAAAAAAAATTATACGCCATCCCTAGATATGCGATCAATAATCATAGTCCCGACTTATTCATTTACTACCATTCTTTAAAATATGGGTAGTATTTAATTGAAAATCAAAAAATCTTTCTTTTATACAATAAAAATCCCAAAACTAATAACAAAAATGCACGGCCAAATAGTTACCACTTTTTTTTTTTTTTTTTTTTGCAACAATTGGACTTTTTGACGCATCAATATTATTTGAAAAGGGCAAATTTTTATAACCTAACTTTCTATTCTGAATACAGCTCTTTTCTAAACGCGATTCGTTTTCTTGTGGGGTCAAACTTCTAACCTAACCTACTTTTCTGGTTGCAGCTCGTTTCTGATGGGGTCAACCTTAAAATATAGGTATTGGCCTACTGGGCTGGCTAGATTGCAAAAAAGTTATTTTGTTATATGTGATTGTATTGCGTTTGTACGCTCTGGTTAATTTGATGTGCAATCAGTATACATATTTGATTTGAAAATAATATATTTGCGTACATTAAGCAACTTTTGTCGCGCATTTGAGGAAAAATATAATACACTGTTGATGTATATTTTCGAATTGCTTCTGGTACTAGTTTTGTTTAATAATTGGTTTATTTGAGGTAGAATAATTAATTTGTTGTGAAAATTATTTAATTGACTAATATAAATTGATGGGTGATAAGTTCTTTGATGTGCATTTAAAATTATCTCTTCAAAATGTTAACAAAAGTAGCCGAGGTGAGCAGCTCGTTACTGTATTGATTTTATCTCTACGTGTTTGCCTCGGTCCCTGCTACAATATTCAGACCGGCTAAATATACCGCGAATGGATTTAGGCACAACGGTCTGACAATGTTCTGAGAATAAACAATTATTCAGTTGAGTGAAGGATGTCGGAGCAGGTACTTTGGCAGGTGCCAGTCAGCTCTAATGAAGAGAGTTGCGCCGGCAAAAATGTTAGTGAGTTTAGGTATTTTTCATCATTTCATTTTATCATCATATCATCATTTCATTTCATTTCGAGTATAAATATTAAAACAGTTTAATCGGCATTTAAATTTATAATTATTTTTTAATAGCGTACAACCCTCTCCAATATACTGGGTGTGCAAATAAAACGTAATACTTATTAGAATCACTGCAAATTCGTAACTCTAAAAACTATTAGTTTAAAGTTATGACCATTTTTAATTACTAGGTATTATTAGCTCGATTTTCATAAAAGCAGATTTAACGTGTTACGTTTAAGATTTTAAATCGAAAATTTGTGTTTACTTTGGAATTATTCAATCCATTATTAGGAAAATCCATAAATGGTAACCCCAGAAATTATGCAATGGTTTTAAAATTGTTGTTTTTTTTTATTCTTTTTAAAATTAATGGCAAAGACAAGTCATATAAGCGTTTAAGCTAATTTCTTATTGTCGTGGACACCTGAATATTCTGATGTTATATTTATTTTAGATGATAGCATAAATGATACTTTTTTTAACCTTAGCAATAAACGTGGCGCATTACTACGTCAGCAGACTATAATGTCATCTAGACTTTTAATTACGTTTCTGTGCCGCGTTGTTACAACTTTTGTTACTTTTTCTAAAGTAGATTGTATGCTTTGTGGTATAGAGTAAAATGTTTTTTTTTTTAAACTTGTATTTTACACATTTTACGTACTTGTAAGATTCCATATAAAATATTATATTTATGTGATACATTTCATATTTATTTTATGTCAAATATGCAAAACAAACTCTGTCGATTGTATTCCTATTTCCGATAAAACGTAATCTCAACGACGAAACGTTTTCATATTTGCAATATGTTTCCATGAAAAATAGTTGCGAATTCTTTAGAGAAAATAAGAAATAGAAACTATGATTTATGTTATTTCCGTAAACAATAAAAATATAACTGCTTGGAATACCGTTCGGAAAATTTCTAGAAAGTGTTGCCAGCTGAAATGTTTTTATTTCGTGTAGAGCAAGTTTTACTACATGTGTCATGTATAAAGAGTTATTGTGGTATGTAGTGAAAACCACACACATTACGAATCTATTTTCAAATAAATGTTTTCTACAATAAATGATAACTGTGTACTGTATTAACAATTACTATTCATCATTGGGTTTGTTACCTTCTCTGTTGTTATTTTATATACTGTAAAATAGTTGATTCGGTGTTTACCTAAAAGTGTTAAGTTATGCTATTGATACATATTTTTACATGTATTTTGTATTTTTTAAACTGTAAACAAGATTGGTTGAACTAGTAAATAATAAACTTAAAATAAAGTATTGAAACTATCTAAATTCTAATGCACATTATAAATGCTATAAAAAGTTGAGAACAAGACCACACTCTTAAAAGCCTATCATGGTTATGTCTATTTAAATTAATCGTCCGTGTGGTGACGGATTAAGAATACATAGTGTCACCACTCCTATTCATCCCTTGATTCACCTGTCAGGACAACAGGACTGCAAAAAGAAGGAACACTTGAATCAAACCCCATACCAACCCGTCTGGCCAACGTGGTATAGTAGGCCAAAACCTCCTTTCTTAGGAGAGGCCTATGTCCAGCAGTGGACTATTAAAGGCTGTTGATGATAATGATGATGATTATGTCGCCTCCACTTTGAGATATGGCATTATATTTCTGGGAAATGCGCCTCACGAAGCAGATGAATGAAGCCCAAAAATATGAGTTCGTGCCATTTGTTAATTGAAACCGACAGATACTTGTAAACCACATTTCAAGAAATATTTTTTTACTGTACCATCGCTTTATAAAGCCGTTATTTTTGTTAAATTAAACTTTGATTTATTAACCTCTATAGAAAGTCAACGTCGCTTTAAAGAGTTGCACTTGCTTCCTATAGAAACTTTCTTCGTCCACAAAAGTATATATGCAATGGCGCTCAAGTTATATAATAGATTGCCAAACCAAATTGTATTGAGCACAAATAAACAAAGCATATTATTCAATAAATGAAATGAATCAGTGACAATTTTTGATACTATTGGACATTAATTGATTATTTTTACGGTTAATTTTAATTATCTTTTATTGTTATTATTTTTTAGCCGAACTTTTTAACTACTTTAAATTATATATACTTATATGGATGGATCCTTTTCCTCTTCCTCCTAAACAGACAGACATCTGTAACCACCTATGTATTACAAAATTAAATAATTGAAATGAAATGACTCTTAATTCATCAATCTATATATGGTTAAAGGACAATAAGTTGATGCACCCTTGTTGGCCAACCATTAAGCGATGCTTCTAGGAGAGCACAAACTCAAACTCACTTTATTTCATAAAATTTTCAAAATTGTTTGAAATCGTTTTTTATGTAGACTTTAAAGTCATAGATCAACACACACAAAAGCAACAATCACTGTTTTGTCAAATAGTAAGCAAATAAATTTAACAAAAATCAAACCCATACAAAATCTATGATATGCCTGTGCCGATCTACAACCGCCCGTTTCCAAGGGGTTGAGCCTTATGAGAAGAAAGGGCAAACTCTCATGGCCATGAACACAAGGGATCTTACGTCCTAGGCATAAGTTCATTGTTTGGTTCCCTTCTAGAGTAAATATTATCATGTATTGGAATAGTAAGGCGAACTTCTCGGAAAAAAATTATTTCACTGCGAATTTCTCTTAAATGTAATACCGTGAAGTTGTAGCCAGGACTGAAAATATTCAGTATGAAGAACTGAAACCCATCACTTGTCCGATTTGTTTGTATATTTCAAGAACGCTTCTAATATAACAATAATATTGTGTCGCGTGTGTCACTTACCGAGCGCTGCCAAGATCCCAGCTGCCCAGAACACCTCACCGCAGAGTGCTGGTAAGAACAGTAGCCCGCCCATACGGCTCCCGAACGAGTCCTGCAGTGGGTCCAGCATCGTTACGTAACCCTGCTTCCGCATCGGGTTCGCGAAAAATATACCGCCTGTGCACAAACAACCAAACTTTGAAATAAGTCTACTAAGGAGGAGAAAATTAATGTTATTTATTCATCATCATCATCAACAGCCTATACTAGTCCACTGCTGGACATAGGCCTCTCCTTAGAAAGGAGGTTTTGGCCTACTATACCACGATGGCCAGACGGGTTGGTATAGGGTTAGTTTCAAGTTTTCCTTCTCTTTGCAGTGCTGTTGTCCTGCTTAGTTTGCTCCCTTAGTCGGCTCTTACGACACCCACGGGATGAATTGAGGTGGTGACAATTTGTATTCTTAATTCGCCACCACAAGGATATGTTATTGATGTTATTTATTATAAAGAGGTAAAGTTTGTGAGTTTGTATATTCGAGGTAATCTCCGGTACTACTAATTAGATTTTGAAAATTCTTTCACTGTTAGAAAGGTATATTATCCTTGAGTGCTATAGACTACTTTTTACTTCGATAACGATAACAGATAACGATAGTCTGGAATAAACAATGCCTTATATATTTCCATGCTACATCCATTAACCCATGCATTCCTTATTTCATTCGATTCGATTTTATATTTATGGAGTAATCCTTCTTTTTTTATTTTAAGAATTTACTTTGTACTCTAACGGCACTATAATTGTTGGTAAAAGTAACACTACAAGGTTGACAGAATTTGCATGAATCTGGACAAAGTTAATATAGTCTTTTATGACACAATAATCTTATGACAATATAAATAACAAGAATCAGATCCAACTTAAGATGGTGAACTGACCAAAGACCAGCGAGAGCGCATATCCGAAGGGCGCCTGGCACCAGACCAGCCCCGACGTGTAGATCGCCTCCGCAGTGCCGTTGATGTAGCCGCCGCCCACCCACGTCGCTGCAACAAACACTCTTCGTTTATTGCTACACTCATATTTATAATTCACAACCTTTAGCTCGGCGCGCTCCATCGCGTAAGTTATGGTAACTAAACTATTGATCGGTGGGGTATTAACTGCTTTAGTGAAAGTGAAATTCGTGCAAACATAACAAATAAACTATTTTTTTTTTATATTAGTAAGGATACATATATGACATGAGCTATGAAATTGTATATTGTATCTGTACAAGTAGTTTGTTATTGAAGTTATTAGTTAGAATAATTTACACATTTTTTTACAAACTAGCAGGTTAAGTGCTTGTAGACTAGTGGTAATATGGACGTAACTCTGTATAATTCTGATCTGATCCTAAATAATAATGGTTTGATTCTAAAATAAAAAATTTCCTTCTTCATTTTTTCACATTCTAAATGATAGTAAGCCTTTTGATAATCTTAGATACGTTCCTGAAATCGTAAGTATCTTTAACAAAATATGTCTCGACGTAGACATTCGTAGAGCTATCTACGGCGTAGCAGTTGTAGCGGGCAATTACATTTTACTCCAATTTGGTAGTTTTTCCCATTCATTTTGTACTCGTGCACCAGCTCTCTTATTATTTAGTATGCCCATAATCCTATAGAGACAATGCTATAAAAATGATTTTATTTCGAAGTGAATACTACTGCCTTGATCTATTTCCCCATACTATAAAAAAGATAAACCTTGAAACGCGGAAGTTTAATAAGTCAATATTTACTTAGTATTGTGAATTTACATCAAGACCTACAAGAATACCAGGGTAACATACAAACAAGGAACTATATTGGTATTACTTCGTGACGTAACTTAACTTCTTGAAAATTATCGTACGTATGTACGTACTGTAAATAAGTCAATAATCCTTACCAGTCATAGTAAATATTCCGACAAAGAGGCCGATGGACCTGCCAGCTAGCATAACCTCCTCCTCCGAGTCATTGCCGGGGGGCTTCTTGCGGGCCGCCCAGATACCCACCGCTAGGATGAGCACGTAGAACAGCACGATGGACACCACGCCCGCTATGTTGATCATATTGATTAGTTTGTCTCTCTGTCTGGAACAACGAGACAACTTGTTGTTTATAGGAGATTCTTCCTAATAATAGAAACCCAACACACACATACGGCCATCTGAGACCAAATCAGGCAGAGTCTGTGCTGTGATAATCAGTCTACTGACAAATATATATACGAGTATGTTTCTAAAAACACACATATCATCAAATAATATATATATATATAATATATTCTACCACATTCACACAACGCGATCTATTCCCGAACTAAGCACAGCTTTTTGGGTTCTAGACAACTGATATAAGTACATATATACCAAATCAAACAGTAAATGTGCAAGCACACAAATGTTTGACTCGGAATTGAACCCTCGGCCTATGCCGGAGCAATCCGATACACAAACTACGACGCCATCCAGCCGTCATAACGCCGTCGTAAATATCCATATTAAATTTAGACATATATCAAATAATTGTGCTCATTACACAAATATTTATCCTGGTCGGAAATCAAACTCACGACCTCTGGCTTATCAGGTTCACTACCCGCTAGACCAAGACCTGCGCCAGCCATCATCTCATTCAAACACTGGCGCCACTGTCTTACTGTTATCGTTTAATTAAGTCTACTGACCTCCCATTACCCATTAAGCATATGAACTCGTTGTTGGTAAGGTTATATTACTTCCAGTATTAGTTGCGTCCCTTCTAAGCTAGAATTTTTAACCGACTTCGAAAAGGAGGAGGTTCTCATGGATGTTTATATTTTTTTTTATATACGTTTGGGCAACAGCATTGCAGAGAGAAGGAAGACTTCAAACCCTATACCAACCCGTCTGGCCAGCGTGGTATAGTAGGCCAAAACCTCCTTTCTAAGGAGAGGCACTCTTCAAACAATAACGGTAAATTAACCGCGACTGCTGCTGGGTTTTTAGTCCTCTTTGTTAGTATTGTTTGAAGTCGGTTCAACTTTTTGTTTTGTCATTTTTTGTAATCTTGTAAAAGTGGTCACGGTTAATAATACTAAATAATTTGACTGCACGGATGGCGTACTGGTTTAAGCGGTCGCCACGCCGCTTCCTACTACGCTGAGTGTTGTGGGTTCGAATCCCACATGGGACGACACTTTGTGTGATCCACAAATTGTCGTTTGAGTCTGGATGTTCTTTGTGTCCGTTTCATGTATGTTTGTAAAGTCAAGACAAAAAAAAAGACAGACTCGTGTTATTGTTAGGTCATAGATATTTTTGATGTACCTCGACACCTCACTGGATAAGAAAACCATTCATTTTCTTTTTCTTTTTTTTATGGTATAAGGGGGCAAACGAGCAGACGGGTCACCTGTTGGTAAGCAACTACCGCCGCCCATGGACCCCTGCAACTCAAAAGCCACAAGTGCGTTGCTGCCCTTTCAGTCCTTCCCGCTCGAGTCATCGGGAGGGGGGATTTGGGCTCAGGTAACCTCACTCACTCAGTGAAAGGCAACGAAAGAATTGCTTAATACCGGTTTCCTATGAGGCCGTTTTATCACTCCGGTTGAGCCGTCCCATTCGTGCCGAAGCATGGCTCTCCCACGGTAGATTATTCATTATTTACAAGTAAAGTCTTTAATGTATTTGAAAAAGAAACAACAAGAAACAACTCCTTTGAATGTATTGATTAGAGTGTATAAAAATTAAAAATGTCTTCGCGTTTCATGACTTTATTTGTGCTGTCGTAACTTTCAAGAGTATCAAAGCAGTTCAAAATATAATAAAATGTATAAGAGGTCAATAACATAACGTTTACATAAATCATTTATTTGTTCTACAGATGTCTCTATAGCATTGTGTATCCGAAAAGTGTAGCACCAACAACTTTTATGTTTTTTTTGTTATCTAACTTCAAAAAAAGGAGAGTTTCTCAATTTGCTTGTATTTTTTATATTTGTTTTACCTAAAATACTACTGTGGAAAGGGTGGAACATTAAGAAATGAAGACAACATAATGTAGGCGCGTTCAAGTCGGTGATACGGTTTTAAAAGTCAATAATTGTAACAAAAGTCCTCCTCCTCAAAACAAAATGTAAAAAAAAACCTTCTTTCTAAGGAAAGGCCTATGTCCAGCAGTGGACTATTAAAGGCTGTTGATGTGATGATGATGCAACAATAGTACGGCCTACGGCGTAATATGATGATATAAATACTTCGTTGATAATTAGGTGAGTTACCCGAATGGTTCCTAAGTTCTTTTGCTATGATCTCGTCATTTTTCTAACTGTTATTATTGTTATATTACTGTGGGAATCGCTTTATGTACTTGTACTGTGTATACACAGCATGTTCTAACATCGGTTTTTTAAATAACTACTACACATCGCACAAAGATCTGTACTGCTTTGTCGTATTGTTCTTATTGAACACGTACAATATACCCAATCAATGGTAATGATTATGGCTGACTGCTTACTGCAGTACAACATGGTGCATTTCGTGCCTAAGTAACATTTAGAACTTTGTGAAAATTCTTGCGAAAAATTATTTATTTCTTAAACCAGCTATACATGTTTTCAATGTCTAGTCAATCGTACAGTAACACGTAAATTGTATTAGATTTTTGATTCTCTTTAAGTTCTGCATACACATACTGAACACACAAGAAATATGGTCATTTTTTGGGTCACTTATTGAAATAACCATTCCTTGACAGTCGCGTATTTATTTTAGTATAAAAAAATAGCCCAATAATCATCATTTTCCTGCCCTGTTCCTAATTTTATTTTGAGATGGCGCATTGTGTAAAACCACAAGAATATTAGCTAGTTTCTTATTACGTATCATGACTGGCCGCCAGCCGTGCAGTTTTTAAGTTGCAGGTCTCCCTGGGCTTCGGTAGTCACTTATCATGAGGTGCGGCCATCTGATGAAAAGTATTGCGTCGTTTGCTCCTCTATATCATAAAATTACCCCAAGTTTGGAAGCCCTGGCCCTCTAACTCTGCTAAGGTTAATATTTCATTTAAGTATTTTGCTTAATTAACAATTACTCGTACATTAGCGTAATTATTAAAACGTTAATTCTTAACAAAAATTTGAGAGGCTTTTAAATTGTATATTTCATAACTAATAAGCAATTCACTGAAGGAATCTCAACAATTTGTTATTAAAGTTGATTAATTTATTTTAGCTTTCCGAGTCATTATTAATCTTTGAATAATGTTTTGGCGCTCTAAGACCTTGTTAGCTTGTCTTTGGCTATTTCATACTTAATAAGGTTTTGCTATGCCATTTGAGCAAATAAAATAATCTTCTAGGAGGTACAAACTAGTTTTAGGGAGGAATAATGCAGTGTTGTAAAAGAAAATAGCAATGAATGGCATCAAAAACTTTTGTCATTCGAATTTTCCAATTTGAACCAGTAGTTCCCGAGATTAGCGCGTTCAACCAAACAAACAAACTCTTTAGCTTTATAATGTTAGTATATAGATAAGTTAATTTGAACCTAAAGTAATTTTGATTTTATTTGAATGCCCTATTTCTAAGGGCTACTGAATTGGTTAATAATATACATAATCACATATGTAGAATAATGCGAAATTAAAAAAAAAATCATGTTATGTTATGTTGTACTCACATTGTTTGTCATAGGCTTGTAGGGTTAAGTAATGGCAATAATGTTAACCATGTATATAATAAATAGAAAAGAGAATTTTTACGTAGCTTTTTAAACGTCACTCTTCCACCTTCTTACGCATACACTCCCACAGGAGCATGTAGCCGTGAACACTTTTAAGTTTTATATCACAATATCTGATTATCACGGGATTCAAGCTCAGGATAAAACAATACGCGAAATCATTCATTATTTTAAGGGTGGTCAAATGTCCCTTATTTGTTAATTCTCACTTTAAAATGTAGAGGTGTTATAAATTTAACGTATTTGTTTACCGTATGGTGATAACACTGTTTGTATCATCACAAACCCTAAAGAAATGATTTGATTTAGATTTTTGTTTTGTTTTAAAGGTCCTTTGAAAATTCTTAGATTTAATTCAAGAAAATCAATGTAGCCATTTGAAGATCATCTGTTCTTATCTAATCATAGTAGAGATGTTTGGGTCTGGCATATATTTGGTCCTTAAACTCATACTTGTAACCATATGTAACTATTCAGTGTAGTAAAAGAGATCTAGAATGGATTTCGAGATTTACTCGAGCGTGTCAGATCAACATAAGGAGGAATACATCCAAGTTGAGTACCTCCATCATATATGAGCCCTACATATAGGGCTGAGCGTCTAGGGCAGCCCATCAAATTAGTTAAACAAAATCGATAGGCAGAAATACTCCATTAAGGTAAGAGCGTAAGGATCGGGTAAGAATAAGGTAAGTTGGGTTAATTACATACACAGTAGTGAGTATTTAAAAAAATCTTACATATAAGCCACAAAGTTAAAAAAGAAGAAATTACCTTAACATTTTTTTTAATTTTGAAGCAAACAATGCAAGAAACCTTCTTTTAAATGTCTAGATAGTTTGTCATGCATTTATTTGTCACATTTTAAAAAATTAAAAAAAAAAACAGATTCAAAATCACATTTCATCAAAGTCAAAAATGAAATACCCTGCAAAATTATCGACAGATTTTTAGCTAACATGACAGGAACATTAAGTTGAACCGTCTGTACAAAATCTAACACGCTCGGGTATTTCAAAATGGCGATTTTTCTAATTTGTAGTTTGCATGTTCGATAATTCGCGACGAGCTTGTATCACTTTCAAATCAGACCTTTCAATGTGAGCATTTTTAGCATCAATTGAATCCATCCATCTATTTAAAATAACATATCCCTAAAATATCTGATGCACCCTAATAAATTTTTTTCGATTTCCTTTACAAACCTTTCCTACCGCTGAAAGTGAAAACATTATTTAACTTTTATTTATTCTATCACATAATCTTTCAAATGCAATAGGTCAAGTAAATCCCCATTTAGCATCACGGGCTCCACTACTTGTGTGTTCAACTGCTTGATGTTGCACCAGCTACAGTAACATTTTCTAAATACCTCTATAACAAATGTTTACTGGCTTAAAATTGTTTGCTGGTTTAAATATTGGCATAATATATTTTTGTAAATAGAGAGCTTTCAAATGTGATGTTGCTAATCCCAATAAGAGGCAATATAGCAAATCTAATATTTCTGTGTACAAAAGCCCCAACCGTTATTTATCAATTTGTCATCACCACTATGCGTTATTACTACACTATCGGATTAAAAATGTCTCCCCGCCCTTTTTATGGTAGAGGAGGCAAACGAGTTACCGCTGCCCATGAACGCTTACAACTCAGGAGTCACAAGCGCATTGACGGTCTCAGAATAAGGACTACGCTCTTACGTCCTTATCTATACTAAATTATGGTTTGGTCAAATAAAAAAAAACAGTTTAAAAGCGAATCTTACACCATCATCTTCATCATCTTTCATCATCAGACCATCGTGACTTAGCTCAATTTGTTCGTCAAAACTAATCATAAGAGTCTAAACACCAGTAGTAACCACATAGTAGGGGAGCCCATTATGCTAAATGGAGATATACTCGAGCGTCATGAGGACCTATTGCATTTGAAAGATTAGGTAATCGAATGAATAAAAGTCAAATAATGTTTCCACTTTCAGCGGTGGGAAAAGTTTCTACAGATTTCAAAAATGTAAGGGGAGGAAATCGAAAACAATTATTCGGGCGCATCAGATATTTTAAGGAATATGTTATTTGAACTCCAAAAATGCTCCCATTAAAAGGTCTGGCGATTTTAAAGTGACCCAAGCTGGTAGCGAATTATCGAAAATGCAATCTGCAAATTTGAAAGATCGCCATTTCGAAATACCTGACAGTGCTAGATGTTATACAGACAGTTCAGCTTGATGTTCCTGTCATACTAGCCAAAAATGATGATAATTTTGCAGTATATTTTAAATCTGACGGTATAAAATGTGTCAAATAAAGGCACGAAAAATTATGTAGACATTTTAAGAAGATTTCTTCAATTATTTGCTTCAAAATAAAAAAGAAATGTCAAGGAAATGTGTTTTTTTGTAACTTTGTGACCCTCCCGCTGCTTTATGATACGCTCAAATCGTCTGTTTTTCTTAGATACACAGATAATGTGCATGTAATTGACTCAACTTACCTTAATCTTACACGCTCGAGTATTTTTGGCTATCGATCTTTTTAAACTAATCTGATAGGCTGCCCTAGACTATTCCCCTATGTGTAGGGCTCATGTATGGTAGAGGTACTCAACTGGGTGTAAAGTATTCCTCCTATCTTAATCTGCCACGCTCGAGTAAATCCCGAAATCCCTTCTAAGACTCTCCTACTACCAGAAGACTTCAATAATCCGTCCCAACCTCTATCGTTAGATTAGCTTCAAGTAGCATATTTAAAGTTTCATTGCGATTATAAAATAAAATAATTAGAAGTACATTAACATTAAATTCCAAACTTTAGTTAGTAGTAAGCTTGTACACTAGTTACGAGTGCAGCTAATAAAAGCTTTTTAAATAATTACTGGGAATTTTCTTCCTTTTCAAGACATGCATTTGTGAAATTTCTTTAAAAGAAGAAAAGCTTTATCACGTACTTCAAGACGTCAGTGTAGGATACACGTTTTGATTTGTTAAGTCCAAATGACATACTTACTAAAAGACTGTCTCTAATATGACATGTTATAACGTAGAGGCAACCAACCGAGAATGAAATAAGTGAACTGAATTCGATCTATACGAGCTATTAATAGAAAGGTCAGAACAAGGAGACCTACATTTCTTTGATCTAATTCTACAGAACCAAATACGTTGGTAGACTGTCAAATCAGATTACTTTGTCATGATTAAACGACACTACGCTTCTGTGGAAGCTTGTACGAAATAACAACTTGTGACAACGACATTCTTTGCTACTGTAATTTATTTGAACTTTTAATGTTATTTCTGTTTGATTTGACGAAGGAAGTCTTACACAATATTTAGACTGTTAATTATTTAGTTCATTATTGTTGTAATACATCAATAAATTTTATTTTAGTGAAATTAATACGTGCTTAAATGGAGAACCCAATTAAAAGATCAAAAAGATTCCTGTTTTCTATCTATACAAATAAATAAAATTTAGGTGTCGGTTTGTAATCTCAAAACAATAGGTTTTTTTGATGCTCACACGGTTATTTGCATGATACCTATGCCTGTCTGTCGGTCTGACAGTCTGTTTGTTTGTTCCCGGTAATCTTCAAAACAGCTGGATCGATTTTGATAATATGTTACTACCGGGTTGCTGTCTATATAAGGCTATTTCTCCTCTCAGAAAACCCTATAAAATTTTGCCCGGTGCAGAAATCTAACCCGAGGCCTCATGTACTGCAGTCGCGTACTGTATTACACCACTATGGAAGCGCTTTTCAAATTCCATACGTATTTTATATATTAGATAGATAGATATAAGTATTTTATATATTAGAGTCAAATAAAACGTCATTTAATGGTTCACTACCTGTTCTTCCTAGTTTCATCATCAGATCTTCTAACCGACCAGAACCAGACCGTCGAGGAATGAGAATGCCGTCTATTTGTACAATGGGTTAAAAATGTTTGTGTATACAAAGTATGTACACAATTAGAGCAAAAGGTCCAATAACATTTGTACATTAACCTGACTTGTAACTTGTAAAATGGGACAGCTCCTTTATTGATTTTAGAACCGAAAATGAACTCACTATTCTAATGTAGTTGCTATTAGTTGTTTAATATTTTGGTAGTTTTAAGGGAAATTTGAGGTACTAAACTTAGATATAATGATTTAGTATCCAGCTAGTAGGTTTCTGGGGCTATTACCTAACCCGTTTTGATACAAGTCACTCCTTAAGTTTCCATTTTCCGTTATTGATTTATTCGTACTGAGCAATGTCGTTGTTCTATCGATTATATTTATAATTAGTTTATGTGTGGCTAGTATCTAAAACGAATACAAAGCAATATACAAACTGTGGAGTCCTAACTTAAATTAATAATAAATAACTTGAGATAACACACGGTCGTCTTATCCTAAACTAAGTAGAGCCTGCGCTATGGTAACCAGAGTGCTGCAATATTATTACAGACAGCGAAAACAAATGTTAGTGAACAAAAGCTTCTATAATATCCACCGAGACCATTGTTTGTTGTACTATAGAACCACTTGTTATTACTTCCACAAACCTTTTTATAGACAAGTATTACTTCAAAGTAAACTAATACTTAATATAAAGATCCAGATAATTCAAGCTTAGTTTTACATTTGTTTAGGCACACATCATCAGAACAAATATGTAAATGTTGTATAAGTATACGGAATAATTGGAGATACTCACTTATATGTGAACAGTAAACTGTGAGTACAGCAGTCAGTCCAGCATCAGCGCCAAACTCGAATCAAACTCGCACTAAATACAAAGTACACTCCACTATCACTGACAAGTTCCAGGTGTTAGATGTTAGGCCTGTCGGCGGCCGGGCAACTGTCGCCCCATCGGAGGGAGGTTTTCTGCGAAGGGCTATTCCTGGTCCTAAAGCTTAGCCCGCACATGGGTGGCGGACATGGATCGTGCACGTGTGGGCCTCCTTACGTAAGAGATGGGCGCATCGTCGCAGCTAGCTCACGTGCTGGTGTGACAGCTCGGGAGCGAGCCGCGCCAACACCGCTTGACGATCGATCCTCCTGACGTCATTGGTCGACGGTGTGATAACGGCGCATGCGCGGACAAAGCTCCCACATACACCATCTCGGTTCTTATCAAGGGTGACTGTGTATATTGCTGCTTTTGTTTGATAATTTAATGTCTGTTTATCTGTTCCGCCAGCAGTGTATCAAAAGTAGGTTGAAAAGCGTTGTCTGTCAAAAGCTGGAGGCGGTACCTTACTGCCCGGTACTGGTCGTACTCTCATTGACAAGGTGATTGATGCGTTGAATTCGTAATTGTGTCGTTGGGGTTTATAAAGAGCTTATAAATGTTACAGGATGACTACCGGTGATACTGAGACGATAAAATAATTTCCCTAACTACCACTAGAAACAAAACTCAAAAGTTTTGTCCTAGAGAAATGCTTTTTTTTGGTCTAGAGTCTAGACCAAAAAAAAGAATTTCCTTGATTTATATTTATTACTAATTCATAGGATAGTTATACAAAAATACACTGGCATTATAATTTACCTAGAAAAGATTTCGGGATTTCATCTCGAACCGCATGCTATAAAATAAAACTATTGCTCTACAAAAAACATTATTCTAACAAGAAAAAATACTTTTCTAAATCAATATGTCTGTGTGGTGACGGATTAAGAATACGGGGTGTCACCACCCCTATACATTCCGTGGATGTCGTAAGAGGCGACTAAGGGAGCTAACGTAGGACAACCAGCACTGCAAAGAGAAGGAAAACTAGACACAAACCCTTTTTTTTTTTTTTTTTTTTTTTTTAACGTGTGGAAATCCCCTCGGACCGTCACCCCTCCGGGGTTTGCGGCGGGGTGGTGTGTCGGACTCGGACCGACTAAAACCACACGGTGTGCCACTCTGCGCCTGTAACAGGAGGGATCCGGGAACAGCTGTTGTTAAGACATCCGGACCCCTCCTAGCGCCAGCCCGCTCCTGGTGCGGGCTCCGTCTCGATATATTTTTTTTTCCCTCTCTTTAGGCGACGTCCGGCACACGCGGACGCCGCCCCCTCGCGGCTGGCCAACTAATGCGGGTGGAGGGGAAACCCACCCCGTCCACCCGCGGCCACACTCAGGGCGGCATGAGGCTGTGATAGCCGGGCCTCCGCCGCCCGGTTCGCCGGCGGCGGATCGGGTCCGAGTGGAGGTCGTCCTCCCGGGCCCTCTCCGCCGCCTCCTTCCGCGAGATTACTACCTCGCAGAAGGTTGCGACCGCGGTAAAACAACTGTCGCTACCGGCCATGGAGCGTACTACGGCCGGTAGCGAGAGATCCACTCCGATGACTGCAGTGAGGGCCCGGCGCTGCGCCGCCCATGCGGGGCAGACCGCCAGCGTGTGCTGGGCCGAGTCCTCACTGCAGTCGCAGTGGTGGCAGGCGGGACTCAGTTCCCTCCTAGCGACCGTGTGCAGGTACTTTCCGAAGCAACCATGCCCGGAAAGCACCCGCGTCAGCCGGAAGGAAAGGGTCCCGTGCTGCCGCCCTGCCCACTCGGCGATGACCGGCTGGAGAGCCTCCACGGCGGCAAAGCCAGCGCGTGGAGTCTCCAGCCGGAACGACCAACGAGCCATCGTGGCTCGGCGAGCGGCTTCGCGCCACTCGCGCACATCCTCGGGCGGAGGGCGAAATCCGCTCTCCGCCCGGAAGTCAGCCACTCGCCGATAAACTTCGGCGAGCACTTCCGCCTCCAAATCCCACGGGGGAGTTCCGGCCAATGCGCATGCCACCTCCGTCGAAACGGTGCGGTAACCGCGTATGGCTCTGACCGCCATTACCCTCTGAGGGCGCCAGAGGCGTACCCTATTCTGGGCGGTCAGAGCCGCCGCCCACACCGGTGCACCGTACAGTGCCATTGACCGGACAACCCCCGTGTACAGCCGTCTTGTCGCGACGCTGGGTCCACCCATATTGGGCAAGAGTCGCCCTAGGGCAGACGCAGCGCCGACCAGCTTTGGAGCAAGCTGTCGGAAGTGCTCGTCGAAGAGCCACCTCCCGTCGAGGATCAGGCCCAGATATTTCATCTGGGCCCGAACCGGTACGAGGACCGAGTTGACCACTATTGAGGCGCCAGGGGGTGGACCACGACGGGGCCCATGGAATAACAGGGCCTCCGTCTTATCGAGGGCCACCCGTAAGCCCAGCGCCTCAATGCGCCCGACCACCAGGGAGACTCCCCCTGTGGCCAGGCGCGCCGCCTCTTGGAAGTTTGCCCCCCGGGCTGTCACGAGGGTATCGTCTGCGTAACAGATTACACCCAGCCCGGGGGGGAAATCGGCGCGAAGGGCCCAGTCGTACCCTATGTTCCACAAGAGGGGTCCAAGAACAGACCCCTGTGGAACACCGCACGACATGGGCCGACACCTCAGGTTACCTTCTCGGTCCTCGTACACGACGGTACGCTCCTCTAAATAGTCTGCCACTAGCCGCCTCAGGTACTTTGGCACCCCATGATAGTGGAGTGCTTCCCTGATGCAGCTGAATGGCAGACTATTGAATGCGTTGGCGATGTCTAATGACACCGCCAACAGCACGCCGCCACAGCTCACGGCCTCTTCGGTCACGGCCCTCAGGCGCAACACGGCGTCGACTGTCGAACGCCCCGCCCGAAAACCAAATTGGGCGTCCGACAGATCGGGGCCCACCTCGCAGAGGTGCCGGACGATGCGGGCAGAAAGAACCCTCTCAAACAATTTGCCCGCCTCGTCCAGCAGCACGATGGGCCTATAGGCCGCGACCGAATCGGCAGGCCGTCCCGGCTTCCTCAATAGGACCAGCTTCCCGCTCTTCCAGCACTCAGGGAAGCGTCCCGACGCCAAGCTAGCGTCGAACACCTCCCCGAGGCGGTCTGCCATGTGGTTGAGGGCCAGGGCCAGCACTCGGGCCGGTACCCCGTCTGGCCCAGGGGTAAACCCTATACCAACCCGGCTGGCCAGCGTGGTCAAACCTCCTTTCTAAGGAGAGGCCCATGTCACGGATAAAACCACCACGGATAAAAACTAAAAGTTCTAACTAGTGCTGCCCCAGCTGTTATTGATTTTAATGGTTAGCAATACTAATGCGAAGGTCGTGTGGCTGAAACACGTCAAGAATGGGTGTTTAAATTTTGGCACGGCGATCAAACCAGCAGTCGGGTCACCTGATGGTAAGCGACTGCCGTCGCCCACGGCCATCTGCAGCTAAAGAGTCACAATTGCATTACCGCCTTTTCAGTCCCCCTTTCCCTAAAATCAGGTGGAAGACTCCAGTAACCTCAGTCAGTCGGTGACAAGTAACGTTCGAATGGCTTATCAGTGGATTTCTGAGGGTCCATATATCACTCCGGTCGAGTTGACTCATGTGCACCCAAGACCTCTCCCACGGTAAAGGTACATAGAGTAATTTTTATTTATTTATTACCACTATAATTTTGTGGTGAAATACGAGGTCATTATTCACGCAGCGACACGGGTTTGAAGAAAATTCATATTAAAATGTTGTAAATGGTGCTCATAGGGACCACGATGCATGATGTCTTGTGAAATGTAACGAAGGGATTTGGCAAAGCTCTTTGTGTACTTTGCACTCTACTGACTGTATAAAAAATATTCTAAGACCGACTTGAAGATCAAGAATTAGCCGTTCGGGACATACTCGACGAGTGGGTGGTCACCTACGCATTCAACCGTAATGGTTTTATCGCGTTATTGATGTACAAGCAGTCCGTAGTGACGATGTAAATGTAGTTCAATAATTTCCTGACAAAAATGCTGTTTAAAACTGATAACAATAATAATGATAATAAAACAAATAAAATATATTATTTATATCACGAGATTGTCGATATGTGGAATGTGGATTCGGAGATCATTGTTCTGATAGTCGTATCTGCTACAAACACCTTAAGAGGCTCTCGTTAGACGACTGGATTAAGGGTCTGATGAAGAAGGCGGTTCTAATGGACACGTCCCGTACAGTGAGGAGGTTCCTGTCTTTGGGGTCCTAACCACGTTACCTAAACTAACGTTATATATTTAATAATAAATATGTATATAAAAATGTAGTAAACACACAACGCCATTTAGTTTCAAACTTAGCAGAGCTCAGAGCTTGTACTATGAAAGTTAGATTGACTGATAGAATACTTGCATACTTTTTTATATATAAATATAGATACATATTATACATAGAAACACCCACACTTCGAAACAAATATTCGCAGATCATACAACAATAGAATGAGGTAGTCTATCGAATTTACCCATCATCATTATCATATTGAATTAGGTCCAAGATTCATCAATCAACAGCATAAATAATCATATTCAACAGCTTTTAATAGCCCACTGCTGGTAATATGCCTCTCCATAGAAAGGAGGTTTTGGCCTACGAATGTATAAGATATTAAAAAAGAGACACACAAGTCAAAATAACAAAATGGCGTATTAGCGATCCGTCACAGTGACATTTATGTAAATAATCAATTTATCCAAATTACCAGGGAATGCACAAGATTTTTTTTCAAAATTATTAACCGCGTAAAATGCCAAAATTACAATCTTTCTGAATAGTTCAGTAATTTACATCTCTGTGGGTTGTAATTGAATAATCAAAATGCATGAAACGGTAAGCGAATTTAGATCAATTCTGTTCCAATGACAAAGTTTTGAGGACATTCACGAACGTAGAGTAATAGACCGTGTGAGAAGATGTTTTCTGCGTGTTTACGGTCAAATTATATGACGTGAAGATTTAATTTAGAAGATCTTTTAACATTATCCATGGTCCTGTTGGTCTAGTAGTTAGTGACCCTGACAGCTAAGCCGGAGATCGGGGTTTGATACTCACACAGGGCAAATAATTTTGTGATGAATACGATCATTTGTTATATGTCTGGGTGTAATTTATCTATAAAAGGTGTGTATTTAGACACATATAAGTATGTTTACTAGCAGTTTGGTTACCATAGCACAGGTTCTGCCAAAATTGGGATCAGAGCACCGTGAGTGAGATGTGGCAAGTTATTATTATTATTTCTTTCAGTTGGGGAGAGTACTTGATAGTTATTTAAATTCGAATAATGTGGAAATATACTAAAACTGTATTCATAATATCGAGATCCTAGTTTTATTCGTTTTGTATTCAAAATGTGTTTACAACACCATAAACATCTGGAACTAGTAACTTAGAATAATTAGTTATAGCTTTGACATCATGGAAACAGAAAGGGAGAGGAAGCTGGAATAAGGGATGCCGCAAGTGTCACATGAAAACGGAAGCTGAGACTACAGTATCCCTTTGATTAGAGAGGAGATAGAGGTCATGAACTGCCATAAATTTTACATTTATGTATGTAAATTTTATAGCGGTTCATGACGTGTTCATGTTCATGGATGATAGGAATAACTTTATGATTTTCTACAACACTAAAAGCAAAACCGAACAACAAGATTACCATGCCCAAGTGTCTGATGTTGAAAACTTACATCCTTTCTTCCAACTACATTGTTGCTATGTAAAGACCTTAGGCCTTAAATTAGGTGTATTACCAATTGAGAGGGTATACTGTCAAAACAAAGTGAAGGACGTTTATATAACTCCAGATCATCCGGCTAGCCAATGTGTGGAAGACGTGCAACAAGATCCGCGCCGCAGCCTTCCGCGTTGGGCTGAGCTTGTGGGACTGGTACCGGCCGCTCGACCCTGAGGGAAACTCGCTCATATCTGGTACACGACCATATAATGTGTGTATATATATTATAGAAGCAAACTGACTGCAAGGATGGCGTAGAGGTTTAAGTGGTCGCCACGCCGCTTCCTACTACGCCGAGTGTTGTGGGTTCAAATCCCACATGGGACGACACTTTTTGTGAGCCACAAATTGTTGTTCTGAGTCTGGGTGTTCTTTGTGTCCGTTTCATGTATGTTTGTAAAGTTCCTCGCGATTCAGAAATATATTCCTAATGCGGGCGTTGTCTTTTTTTAAAAAGAAAAAAAAAACTTTTTTATAAATATAATAATGATGTCACTCCTAACCAACTCTATCTTGTTGCGTTTGTAGTTGTAATGACGAAGATTTATTTTCAAATTTGTATTGTAAAATTGTGTGGCATATAGGTACCACTATAGCGAACACAACATTACCATCATTTGACGACCACTGCTTAAACAATGATGCAAGGATTATTATAATTGTTTTCTTTTTTAGTGTAAATTTACTTGAAATCAATATTACTACTATAACTCGTACCAATTCACTTGAACCCTTGTGCTTGTATTTTACAGTACGTAGGTACTACTTATACGTTACTGCCTAGTATTTACAGGTTTAGCGGTAATTCTTATGCTAAGATTTGCAACCGTGGGAGAGCCATCCTTCGACACAAATGGACCGGCTCGACCGGAGTGATACCACGGCCTTACATAAAACCGACCCTGAGCAATTCTCACGTTGCTTTTCACCGAGTAAGTGAGGTTACCGGTGGACAAAACAAACCCCTCCCTCTCCTCGATTCTGAAGAAGGACTCAAAGGGAAACAACGCACTTGAGACTCTTGAGCTGCAGGTGGGCACGGGTGGCAGTAGCCACTTACCATCTGATGACCCGTCTACTTGTTTGACCCCCTTTATCATAAAAAAACATTATGTGGACAATACACATAACGTTATAATTATGTAGAAGTAGGACAGAGTAAAATATGTCTAATCAAACTATTGATTTCCGATTGGGAAACTATCTCTAAGTACCCTTCAGACGAATAAGTGTACCAGCATAATTAATGTAACATTATATTTCGTTTTGTGTATAGAGTCCCCATAATTCAAAGGAGTGTGATAACGTAGAACTGAGCTAACGCATTTTTCTTTTCTCCAGAGTCCAAGTTCGTGTCGATACTAGCCGGTCCGCTGCGCTCGGTGATCGGTTTATCTGATGATGAGATCGCACAGCTAGCTGACTACTTCAGGGCGCAAGACGGACGTGTGCTGTACCACCAGCTCTGTCAAATCATTCATGGTGAAGGTAAAATTAGTTTTTTATCGTTTTAAAAGTTAGTAGGTGCGTTAGGGGTGTTACAGATATTCGTTCATGTCATCGACAGACTGGTGAATGGGCTTGTGGCGCCACCTAGAATGAAAACATATTCTTTTAGTCGAAATATACTTAGATGACATATTTATATATCCTAATGTGGCGACTCAAACATACAAAGAAACAGAAACACACTACAGCGCCATCTAACGAAGACACGCCGAACTACGGAGTAACTCCTGAATGAGAATTGCTAATCCTATATCGCGATATGAGGAATTCTATCGCCGATTAGTATACATACAATTTCTCAACATCAACCGTCGGGCCGTGGCCCGCCAGGCATGAACACACGTCCGAATGGAGGATCCTCCCTATTGTTAGAGGGACATAACGCCCGTTCCTCCACACTAAAAATGTCTACCAGCCTGACTTACGAGACCATTTTCTTCATACACTTAGGTATCCAAAATTCAGGTCATGAATTATGCCGCAAATTTTCACACTAAGAAGTAATCAAAATCTGTGTTAGTGTACAGGTCTAGATGGTTTACTAAAATTAAGGAATTATGTGTAGTTTATTGTTTAAATTTCCATCATAACTCAACAAGTTCGAAGTGTTACTGTTATATCACCGACCAGTAAAGTTTTAACAGTAATTGTATATACTCTACTTACCATGATAGCTTAAGATTTTTTTGACGAATTTGCAGCTTCTTTCGTTTTTTTTAACGTTTTAGTTTTTCGTACTTCTTCTTCTATATAAGCATTCATAAGTATGCAAAATTTGCTTATAAAGGCACAAAAAAATCTCTTAACAAATCATTTATCTGAGGCATCATTACTTGTCTGCGGACCCTATCCGTACTGTACTTGTACCTATACGAATAATAAGTTAAATATTAATCTCTCCTCGCATTTGCCTCACCGTGTTACTAGTATATCACCTTTAATGCGTATCTTTAATGTTTATTATAAATTATAAATTTGGATTTCAACATAAAAGCATTATCAACACAGTTTACTAGTGGTTTCGCTCCCTTCAATATTGAGTATATCAAGTATTACAGGTATCAATTGGGTGAAGGACTGTTTACTGAATGAAAGCCGCCCTAAGTCATCCTTTTCAATACCCCTGATATCGTATACTCCATTGCAGTGTCATTTGTTGAGTAGTTAGGACGCCAAAGCCTAACAAACAACTTTCAGTCACATTTGCTGGTGCTCAGCTCCTATTGGTAGTGTGATGGATTAAGAATACGGAATCACCCCTATTCATCCCGTGGGTGTCGTAAGAGCCGACTAAGGGCGCAAAACAACGCAGGACACCAGCACTGCAAAAATAAGGAAAACTTGATGCAAACCCTATACCAACCCGTCTGGCCAGCGTGGTATAGTAGACCAAAACCTCCTTTCTAAGGAGAGGCCTATGTCCAGCAGTGGACTATTAAAGGCTGTTGATGTGATGTTATGATGTTATATTATAGCCTTCCTCGATAAACTAATCTAAAATTAAAAGGGTTATTTTTAATTTAAACCAGTCGTTCCTGAGATTCGTTTTCTAACAAATAAACAAACTCTTTATTATATTAGTATTTATAGGTTAGACTCACAGACCTGTTACTGTACAGCAGACATTCTCCAAGTACAAAGCAATGTATGTACGCACACAGATATCAGGACCAAATCCTAACAATTCACTCTACGAGACATCTATGCGAACACGGCATTTATATCCGACAGTAATCCCACACCGTAAATGGCTTCATCCAGAAATAGGTTACCTGTGTAATATAACATGAACCCCAATTCTCCCAATGGGTATGCTATATTACATCCACCCTGTTATAAGGTCAGGTGTCATTTTCGTGTAATAGCAGGAGCGTATATTGCCCAATGAGGTGAATTGTGTTGACCATTTTTTTATAAATCTCAATCAACTGAAAATGTCTTTGTTTCTCAAATTTTTGACGAGACACTTGAAAGTACTAACTGCAAAATTGAAACAAGCTTTGATTTTATTAAGTAGTAAAAGATTCGTCGCCTCGTATTTGCCTTATTTTATTTATACTAATATAAGGTATTTATCTATGAAGTTGGAGATTTGTATGAAAATTTAAATATTCATTTTTTTTATATATTAGCTAATCAAAGTACTGGCCTAAATTATCTTTACAATTTTGCCATTTTGATGGCAATTATCCCTTTACGAAAAAGTTTTGTAGTGCCTCTCGGTTATTGAATTTGTTCCCACTTAGAAATATGTCTAGACTTTGAAAAAGTAGAAATCTGTTGGGGCAAAGTCCGATGAGTACGGTGGGTCACGGAAAGCTTCCATAGCTTTAGCAGACTTCTACAGTAAAGTTTAAAATAGACTTAAAATAAAAAATGGCAAAATTGTATAGATAATTTTGGCGTGTAGCCTTTAATCAGCTAAAATAAAAAAATCCAAATTTTTTATATTTTAAAATTTTGACACAAATCTTTAATTTCATTGGTAAAGACCTAATATTTAAGAAATATATATTTTTATTTAGAGATATATAAAAAAAATAAAAAATAAAAAAAATAAAAAAAAATGGCAAAATTGTATAGATAATTTTGGCGTGTAGCCTTTAATCAGCTAAAATAAAAAAATCCAAATTTTTTATATTTTAAAATTTTGACACAAATCTTTAATTTCATTGGTAAAGACCTAATATTTAAGAAATATATATTTTTATTTAGAGATATATGTGACCTGTTGACGGCAATAGGCTTAGTTATAACTGTTATAAAATAAGTTAGACAAAAATCGTAGTCGGAAAGACGCGAGTGTAATACTTCGTACCACAAGCTACATACCAGTAAACTATACTAACGTCAAACAAAAGTTCCAACCCTAGTAAGGGACCTATATTATAATTAGCCACTGGTGAACACGGTGACACAAAACAGTCACACCAATAATCCAATTAAATATTGACACTGTACACACTAATCTGCTGACAATATCGAAGAATAAATACCACGGTAGAACATTCCCGCCACTTGCACGACAATATACCACATCAATTATTATTAGCTGACACGGTAGCGTGCGGTCCTCGCGTCAATCAATTTATCAAGGGTAATTTGCTTGTTCGACCAGCAGATTATGTGTAATTATAATATAAAAATATAATTTTATAACGTATTTGTAATGAAAGTTCGGTCAAAATTCAGTTCTGATCAAGTCTCAATCTCGTAACTGTCATAAAAGGTATTTTCGTAGTAAAGTAGAAAAGTATTTAAGACTAGAAGATTCCCGATTCAATTTTCGATCACAATACGAAATATTCACATTACAGTCAATGTTGGATGTGTAATGACGTTGTGAGATCAAGAGTTGATCGGAACTGAAATTTTGACCGAACTTTCATTACGAGAATTGGCCTTCTTTAAGGATCGCCATGAGGTTTTAAAGATCATGATGGCCGGAGGTTATTAGTTTCAATGTAACCATTCCCGTAGTAAATCATTTATTGTTTAATTTTAATATATTTGTTGTGTTTTGTGTATAATAGTAAATGTTGATAAAAAAAATCCCTAGCATTTCCTCGAAGACCGAGATACACTGATGCCTATATAAATGTAGGTACTAGTTTGGAGTGTAAATCATAATTGTGAAGTCCGCGATGTGCGTTACAGCGAATGTTTATTATCGTGACGTTTGTAGTTGCGAAAGTTCTTTATTGCGTTATTAAAACAATATTATTAATGATATTAAAACAAACTGCAGTTATCAGAGCAATATGTCTATACATTAGTTACTTACAATATCGAAGGTACGCTTAGTTTTTTTTTTTATACCTTTTACTAGTGAGACTTAATGATTTGTAATAACTACAGTTCTGTGTTGCTTTTAAAAATAAACCGAATTTATCAGGTTACTAAATACATTAACTCAGTTTGGCGCCAAAAGGCACTCCATTAGTCGCCATTTTGATTTGTGATTATAGAAAATTACTCATTCACACTTCGTTATCAAGTGAAACCAATAATTTATTGATATCTCGCTAAGGTTGGGCTTAGTAGTTATATAGGATATATAACCAAACTAGGAATAGAAGTAATTGAACACATTAAATTTGTACAAGTTTTTACAGTATGATGTTTCCATTTCAGAGGTTGAGATGTCCCAACTATTTCAGTAACCAGCGCACTCTCTGTGAGCTGTAACTAAAAAACAAAACCATGTCAGCTGTCATTTTTTATAATTCCATAGTAAAACATTTATTTTTTTAAGTTTCTTTTATTTTTACCTTTTCATCATGCAAAGGTGACAAATACGGAAATGACCTATCTCTAAGGGCTGATATTAAGAGATGAAATCAATGTTCTCTAATGTCTTTATTAAGATCAATTTCTCGAGGGGCGTTTGCGGGTGGCGATCAGGACAATCGCCTTGAGCCTCCGGAGGCTCCGGGCTGTTGTCCTGTCGTGTCCACTCTTGCAACAACGGGGATTTCCCGTGTTTCAATTTTAACAGGCTTTCAATGTCCGACTGTCGTCGGCGTATGCTTTTATGTTCGAGCAACAGTATGTGTTGTGTTGCATTTTTTGTTTCAATTATCTTCATTAAAAGTAATTCCATACAGACAAGGGCCATGTGGTGACGGATTAAAAATACAGTGTCACCACCCCTATTCATCCCGTGGGTATCATAAGAACCGATTAAGGGAGTAAACTACGCAGGACAACAGCACTGTAAAGAGAAAGAAAACTTGAAACAAACCTTATACCAACTCGTCTGGCTAGGGTGGTGTAGTAGGCCAAAACCTTCTTTCTAAGGAGAGGCCTATCTCCAGCAGTGGACTAGTAAATGCTGTTGATGAAAGGCGTCGCAATGATCTACTGCCCCGGGGCCTCGCAATGATCAACTCGCCCGGGACCGCGCAATATTTAAGGCCGTGACTTGTTCCATTCGCTATCTAACAGTCTGGTGACAAATTAGTTCTTAAAATAAACATTTTATTGTACATGTGTAGGTGATTTAGACCACCCACACTCGTACAGGGTATACTTGTATGTTGGTATATTATTGTAGATAGGTAATCGGTTTCTACTATACAATAATTGTAATAAATAGATGGAGCATGGCAATGAATACACTTAATTGCGATTAATGAGCCCCGTTTTTTGCTATTCTAAACCTTTAATATTCTATTGTTTACACAATATCAGTAGAAATTAACTTCTGACATTTGAAACGAGCTCATACCTAGTTTGTTAGGGATCCGTGGTCAGACTGTAGCAACACACGGGTTTTCACCAATCAAAGGTTGACTAGAATTAAATCCGCAACGAATATATGTATTGCATGAAAACATTTTTATGCCATTAGCTTCAGTAGTGTTTTTAATTGTTGGAATAACTAATAAAGGACCATGGTGCACCTATGACCATGATTGATGCAATTGGAACGAATCGTTAAGAAACCAAAAAGGCATATTTACCACATCAATAATGTTGCGATTAAATCCAATTTGTCACTTCTAACGCCAATTTTTGTCATTTATTTATTCAAAACCTGTAATACACTATGTTTTTTATGTTGTTTTCTTTTGTTTTTTTTTAAAGGCTGCTAAACTGTAAACAGTTTGTCACAAGATGTTCTCGTTCAAAAATACATAGTATAATGTATTAGCATACAATTTTGTATTTATTTCAGGTTACTTTGTTTAAATAATTAAATATTACACTGGCCTACACTCATTTTGGTGCCTGGGGTTTTAGACCTGATTTGAAGTATATCTTATACGGTGATATCAGAAGTGCTACAGATGTTTTCCTATTAGCTCTAGTTGATGAGATAAAAAAAATATAACTTTAAAAAATATCAATTTGTTTAACATTTAATATCAAGGAAATTCCCTTTGAGTGGTTTTCTATAATTAAATTGTCTTGGAGATAATTATATAATATTTCCAGCTATAATACCCCAGCAATAATCAGCTCTCATATGAATGTCCCATCTTCCTTGATATCTAGTCTCTATCGTCCTTATGTCTTTGTGCAAAATGTTCTACTTGTTCTTCACACTAGATCTCCTTAATTATATTGAAAGTGACATGACATGATATGACCATGGAGCTAGTGTACTTTTATGCTTATATTAGAAGATAAATTTTTAAAGAGATCCAGTATTTCCTCAACTAATTCTATATAGTTGTCACCCTTGTAATTTCCAAAGAATTTTTGTACAACCGCTACAAAAGAGTTCCACGCAAGCCGTTCCACATCCGTCATATTTATTATGTCATTAATTAGTTGACGTATTTGATTGCCTTCAAAAATACCCGCTTTTCATTTCTTAGTACTTAAGCCAGGAATATACTGAAAACATGAATCATTTCTATCTAGAGCTTTAACAAATTGCTCAAATTGCTCAAATTGGCGCAAATGTTTCATGCATATTTTGCGTACACAATGAGGCACCCACTCTTTATCCGGATTTCAATATCCATGACGAAGTAAGGAAAATACAATTGAATTATAGTAACTACCATCAATTTTCGCTGAGTTTTCATTATGTTATCACTACAATTATATAACAAAACATACCAGGATAGTTAACACAACATCTGGAAGCACTAGCAATAATTAAGTAATAAGATACATTTTTATAGATTTTTTATAGGAACGACCTTTGTAAAAATGAGATAATAATTGAAAATGAGTGTAGTAAGTAAACTAGAACTGATGAGTTAAAATGAAGTTTATCAATATATTACACATTACATTACTTATCGACCACTGATACAAATTGGGCTGCATCAAAAAAAAACTTGTAGGCCTGTATAATCCCTATATCTACCTATGTTTTAAAGTAACTGGTAAAGGCAAAGAGAGGTAAGGTTAGTTAAAATAATTCAAAATCTTCCATCAGTATTATTACCCCCTTTTTTTCCGTGCGGAAATCCCCTCGGATACCACCTATCGGTGGCAAGTCGGACACGAACCGACTAAAACCGCACGCCGTCTCGGATACTAATAGCCGGAGAACCAGGTATTCCCTAGAAAGGAAGTTCCTTGGTGCCCCGACATTGTATCATTACCCCTACAAATAACTTATTTCATTCAGACTGTATTAGGGCTCAAATACTATTGTTTTTTATTGAGTCCGATTATCCTAACCTCCTTTTAAATTATTCTTAAAGTTTATACCGTTTTAAGAATAAGTCAAGCTACACTGAGATAAATGGAGTGAGTAATAATAGAACGGTTCACGAATCAGGTCAGGCAATCAATAGCAGTGGCTGCGCGCTAACCTGCACGATACGACGCACCTGGTGCTCCTCTGGCGCGCCTCCTTCGCCAACATGTTATTTGTCGGTCAAACATGTTTCTTTTCACAACTATACCGACCATTAAACAGGTTATTGTTACTGCCTGCTATATTTAGTTTCAACTACTGACCGCTAAGTACGCCGAGTAAAAACTTGTTCTAGGTTCACATACATACATACTTACCTTCCCTTAGGTACACCTGTTTTCTTGAAATGATAGACAGAGGTTGGTTAAATACCTATATTACGCCAGTTGTAATTTGTCGAACTCAGGTAATAGGAGACGAGACTATTACTGCCCTTTTGAAATTAAAGATGGTTAAATTGTGAGTACATATATCAAAAGGAAAAAACAGGCAAGAAAGGGAGCCAATGGAATTAAAACTTGTAAAGATTGAAGATAGTAAGTAATATTTATTGTGAATTATAGGTACATTACTGACGAATGAAGGAATATCTCGACTGTGGCGGAGTAATTTAAGCCTTCTTAGTAAACAGGGTACATTGACAGGATCCCATTTTCAACTAAAAATATTTAGTTTACCAATTATCTTAATGACTCGCAAATATCACTCAAATGTATAATATGTCCTACCAGGAACTACTAATGAAAAAATAAAAGATGAATCACTATAAAATTATTTGTATATCTACAATTAGTACAATCACACATTAATAGACTCATATTAAACGCAAAGCAGCAGAAAATCTCTCACAAGAAAGCTAACACATGTGTAGAAAAAAACAAAGATTCGACTCAAGAAACCCCCTACGTCTTGATACAATGTATCTTTTTATCTACATTTTTATATCAACATAGATTAAATAATTTATAGTTTTAAAAAACTAAAAAACACGCTTTCTATAGAAAACCAAACTAAAAAATAGAAAATAAATTTGAAAAAAAGCGTTGGGTGCCTGTTGTCAATAGTAAAAAGCAACCCCACCCCAAGCGTATTTTTTAGTTTTTTTAAACTTTTTTTTTTAATTAGTGTATTGTCATCGGTCCTCGATATATCTACAAAGTTTGAACGAATTCTGACCGCTTAAAGTCAGTTAAAAGTACGCCCAAAGGAGTCGGTTACAAACATACAAACAAACATACAAGTGAAGCTAATATAAAGCGTGTAAAAACTAGCTACACTAACAGTGCTATACCTATCACTAGTTTATATATTTCTGTAATACTTTTAAAATGTTTAAAAAGTACTTCTTGTAAGCAAAACTACCTTCATATAGATCCTGGCGGCCGAGACAAGACATCGGCGGACTGCATCCTAGAAGCGTGCCCACCTCCCCCTGAGCCAGCGTGCCACACCTTGGACGTATGGCAGACCAGACGCCTCTGCTGTCTTTTAGCCACTATTGCCGCACGCAACCTTCCACTGAAGCCTTACTTCCAGGACTACGAGCTAGTACGTATAGCAAAAATGTAATGATTGCTTCTTCGAGGTTTAGTATTACTTACTACCTTTAAAATAATAAATATAATATTACGTAATATCTTTAATACAGCGTGTGACTTTCAATGTTGCGTGATCTATATTCAACTTCTAGGGATTCTCAATATCTACTAAATGTACTCAAATGCATAATTAGTTTCATCACGCATAATATAGCGTGGAATTTTGCAAATAAAGATTTGTAACATAACTTTTAAGGTAGCCAAGAACGATGGTCGCATCACATTCGCGCACTTCGCGCGCATCCTCACCTACATCGGGGTCATCGTGTCTCCTGAGGACTTCAACTTGCTGGTGCGAAAGTTCATCAAAGACTCCTACACATTGGACTATGTCGAATTCCTCAAGGCAGTGGAAGCAGTGAAGAAGGAGGGCATCCGAGGACTTGGGCCGGTGAGTAACAATGCTTTTGATGATGCACGACACGTGGCATACTGAACATACCTAGTATTTAAAATATGTATTCATGACACCTAAAAAGGACTTATTCCTTAAGTCTGAATCGAAATCTTTGTAAACACAATATAATCTGCCCTCTTAGGAGGTGCACAAGTCTTTTGCTATTCCAGGACTCGGGTCAACTTATGACACCCATGGTTTATCGTGTCAGTCATATTATTTATTTGTATTGTCAAAATATATAAATTTAAATTTGTTACAAGAAGTCCATTTTGATGTCTCACCGTATACCAGATACTAAACCTAAATATGGCAACTCAAAACAGCAGGTCACTTCGTTTTGTGTCAAATGTTCCCGTCGGACTTCCCATAAATGCAACTAGGGGTATAGCACAACGTTACATATTTAATGCCAATAAATACCACTTCTTCGTTTAAATATTATTGCAATAACCACACATAACTTTGTAGAAGCGACCCCAGGAGTTAATCAAATATCATATGAGAACTTGTACAGTATTACAGTGACTGTTACTATTTACTCGCGACTGTTATTATGTAGGAGTATGAACACCCGGCGGCAGTGATTGACACTACTTTGCCGAAATTGGTGCGACCAGAGATCGAGGCTGGTCTGTCGACTGCGCCGTTAGGCTCTACAGAAGTGTTCCACCCAGCGTTAGCATCACAACGTCCAACGCGAGAGCTCGTCGATATCATGTTGCGGGTGCAGGAGTTCGTGAAACAACGGAGCGTCAGGGTCTCTGAATTTTTCAGGGTAAGTTGAGATCATTACAAAAAGATGCAAAATGCCGTTTCTTTGTTATGTATTCGCGCCTGACTACTTTACTTTACCTACAGATTAAAAAAAACTTAATTAATAAAAAGTGGTGATCAATGATCAACCACCTTGTAATATACATTTAAAATATTTTATAATTAATGTTTTTATGGCATGGTTTCTCCTTTCCCTGCCCAGGACTACGACCCCTTAAACTGCGGCCGTATTCCACCGCAGCAGTTCCGCCGCGCGATGGACATTATGGGCCTGTCCAAAATTTTATCTGCAGAAGAAACAATTTGCGTCATGAGGCACTACGTCGATCCTAACGACCCGCAAAGAGTGTGCTGGAGAACCTTCGAGGATGACTGCGACCAAGGTATGATAGTAAACCTGAATTATTGAGTGATCATCCTATGGTACCTTATTAAGGTAAATGAATAATATACGGCAACAGCCATTACTTAAAAGAAATTTCGTGTTTACAAAAATAAATATAAAGAACAGACTCTGAAAACTGGAAGAAACGCTGAAACAAACTTCGGCGTTTCTTCCCAGAGTCTTAGGAAATGCCGGCGCCTTCTAGCTATAAAGTCCAACTTGTAAAAATATCTGAAAAGATTTACTTGCAGAAATAAATAACATCCGAAAGCTTAGGGATCAAAGGTTTTCCGGAAAAGATTCTAATTTGTTATTAACTTAACATACCATTATTTACCAGACTGAATTTGGAATTGAAATATTTTTTTACATAAAGCTCACAAAGTGATATCATTGAGTGTATAAATGTACATACATCAAGAATTGAAACAAAGATGTCTCGTTAGTGTGTTAAGATCACTCAGTACTATATTCTCCAAACGAGACCCCATGGGATCCTCTTTAAAATATCCAAAAAACTTAATAAAATTTATCAGTTACGAGATCTTCTAGCATAGAAATAAACTGATGATATTTAAGCTAATTACAAAATTTTAATACACTCTTTGTCTCTATAACATCATTTAAGCAAAATTCGATGTAGCCCCAAAGTACTTTTGATTAATTTTTCTTTAATTGACTGCGGTAAACTTCATACCACCAATCCACTCTAAATGTGTTTTGTGTAGTATTCACAACCAAAGAGCTTGAGAAGCACCCGGATGCGGTGGCGGGAGCAGCAGGTGCTATGGCAGCACAGCTTCCTCCTCTGGGTTCGGCAGCTGACCGCGGAGAGGGAGAATCGCGCGCTGACCTGGACGCTGCGCAGGCGGCGCTGCTACGTGTCCGTGCCGCTTGCGTTGAGCGCTCTATCGATCTACGACCTGCTTTCTCAGAACACGATGAGTTAGTACTCCTACCTACTATGTACTGATCCTATGACTTTAACCAGCTTCCGTCTCCAAAACCTGTAAATTACAACCTCGAGTGCTGGAGTTAGTTTTAGTGCAATTTACAGGCATAGGCAGAGCTTGGTATAACTCACGTTATATATATTCTGTAAATGTTTTTGAAATTAGGATCAAAATTTTAAAAATTCTATGCGAAATCAACATGATTGCACCAACAGACACAACAACGGGCACGTGTCGCGTGCGCAGGTGCGCCGCATACTAGCGCGGTTGGGGGTGCTGCCCTCGGCTGCGCAGGTGCGCGCGCTTGAGGCGCGCTACCTCGACGACTGCGGCTTCAGCTACGTCAGGTTGTTGGAAGAGGTATCGATTCACTCAGATCTTAATAACATCCTACAGCGTTTACTTAAATTTGTTGTGGGAGAACCATGCTTTGGCACAAATGGGCCGGCGTGAAACCACGGCGTTAGGCAAAACCGGTGTTAGGCAGTTTTTTTTCGTTGCTGTTCACCGAGTGAGTTAGGTTAAAGCAAAGATACGTTCCACATTATCGTGGTAAATCAAATAATGAGAAGGCTTCAAAGAGATGTCAAGAGTGAGTGCTGTTAACAGATGGAGGAGCGCCCCGCAGAGAGCGCCACCATCGCGGGCCCCTCGACGTCAGTCAGCCGCGGCGCGCGCTCCTCGACCCCTGACCCACTGCAGACTGACATCGTACAGATCCTGGCAAAGATCAAGGGCAAGGTACGTCTCCGCTAACCAATCTCTAGAGATGCAGGTCAAAATATACCACGTTTAAAAATAACAAACCAACGACATATATGAACAACATCTATAGTACGGGAGCCCATGATGCTAAATGGAGACTTGAAAATGTAAGGGTGTAAGGGACATAGTACCGAAGGGGTAACGAATACTAAAATAATGTATTCAGACCATGATTCTAAGTCGAAAATCATTGGCATTTTCAGCCGGAAAATCAATGTTTTTATGCAATCAGCTGTAAAAGGCAAAGGTTATTTCCTGTAGGTATCGCACAAAAGCAATAACAACACGCGTAATCCGTGCAAACAGTCTACTTACTTTCAGTATTCGTTACGATGTCCCTAACACCCGATAAAATGTTTGGACTTTAAGCGGTGAGAAAAGCTTATACTGGATTTCAAAAATGTAAGGGGAAGAAATCGAAAAAAAATATGTTCGGGCGCATCAGATATTTTGGGGATATGTTATTTGGACGCCAAAATTGCTCCCATTGAAAGGTCTGACTCTTTTAAAGTGAATATGCAAACTGCTAATTCGAAATATCGCCATTGGTGACAAATAAAGGCACGAAAAATTATGTAGACATTCAAAGACGATTACCTCTAGTTTGCTTCAAAATAACAAAAATGTCAAGCTCATGTTTTTTTAAAACTTTGTACCCTCCTACTGCTTTGTCACGCTCAAATCATCTGATTTGAGCGTGACAAAGCAGTAGGAGGTTAAATGCACTCTAATGCGAATGTAATTAACTCAACTTACCTGAATCTTACACGCACACACGAGTATTTTTGGCCAACAATTTTTTTTAACTAATCTGATGGGCTGCCCTAGACGAGCCCCTTTATATGTAGGGCTCATGTATGGTGGAGGTACTCAACTGGGTGTAAGGTATTCCTCCTTATGTTAATCTGCCACGCTCGAGTAAATCCCGAAATCCCTTCTAGGGCTCCCCTACTACAATGTACGTGTAGACAAAAGCAGAACTTTCAAGGCCTCCGAAATTAGGACAAACTAATACCACCACTTATGCTGTGCCACTTACCTAAACCATGATTCATTGTCTGTACTGAGTGCACACCTGGGAGTACAAGCAGTCTATGAAGTTGGATTTTTGTATAATTTTTTTAATTTTAGCTTATCATTTATTATGAAAGCTAGATCGACTGATAGAAAAAAGTTTAATACTTTTATTTGTAAATACATGCATATTATACATAGAAAACACCCAAACTCCGAAACGAATTTTTGCAGATCATGCAAACATTTAGTCCGACCAGGGAATCGAACTCGAGACCTCAGCACAGCAGTTGCAAATGTCAGATTGTAGTTCACTTCTATGGTGAAAATTTTTACAAACCGCCTTAGCAACTCATGTTCTTTTTTAATTAACGTCCAGATGGTACGTGAAGGTATACGGCCGCGTGAGTTCCTGCGTCAGTTTGACGCTCACAACGAGCTGGTGATCCCGCGAGCAGACTTCTACCGCGGGCTCGCTTCTGCCGGCCTTCCTCTATCACCTCTCGAAATGGACACCCTCATGGAAGTGTCAGTGTCATCGTAACATATTGTACTAACTATGCATACCTACTTATAAAAATAACAAAACAGGCTCCTCGATGGTTAAAGTGATGTAATAAGAACTTTTTAGTAATAAGACTTGGCAACCGGGGACTTGGAGAGAGAAGGTTCTCAATTCAGCTCTATTTTTATTTTTTTTATGTTTTTTCCCTCAGAACTTCTTCCTCTTATCGTGCCGATGGCAACACTAAACGGTTTTACGCCCAGTGCTCGTTGTCACGAATGGCGACCTCGAAACTGAATAAAGAACTGAATGGGACCAAACGGGAAGGCCGTTTGGTCCCATTTAAATTTGTAGAAAGAATTGCCCTCATGAGGGTGAAAATTAAGGAACGTTGAATACAGCTTATGACAATTCATCATGATGTAGACGTATTCAGTGCGCTGACACTTTTTTAAAATTCATTATATTGATGTGATTACAGTTTCTGTGCGCCGAATCGTCGCCGCTACATAGAATACGAACGCTTCTGTTCTGTGGTGGGTGAGGCGCTGACGCAAGGAGGCCTGGAGCGGGCGCCGCTGCTCGAGCCCATCCCGCACGTGCCCACCATAGACACTCCCCTCAATTTCCTCAACTTCGAGGAGAGGAATATTGTCTCTATGGCACTTAAGAAGCTGTCCAAGTATCCAGACCAGCTGTCCAACATACTGGAGTTGTTCCAAGTGAGTCGATAATGTCGTTTAGCAAACGACTCTTGGACTAATTCAAACTGTACGCGGTGTGTCCACATTTTTTTAAAATGATTCAGATTACATGATTCACAAGGTTGAGCATTTAATCAAGCGGAACAAGTGGTGCAAACATCAATAACTATGATAATAAATATATTCGTAACGATTGTGGCAGACACCGGGCGGGAAGAGTTTTTGTTTGCGTCAACCTTTACAGATATGACACAGCGCTGTCTTGACCCACTAAGGGTAGCTTTTTCTGGAAGGTTTCTAAAAAACATGCTTAGGCCCATTTCCCTTTGTACATACATATCATAAATAGAAATACCAAGAATAATGCAAATACATTAACGTGTAAACATTTTGCGACTGGATGATGGATGGCGTAATTGTTTAAATGGTCACCTCGCAGCTTCCTACTTGATGAGTGTTGTGGGTTCGATCCCTAAATGGGATAACACTATGTGATCCACAAATTGTTGTTCTGAGTCTGGGTGTTGGGACACAGGGTATATTCACAGTGCGGGAGTTGTCTTTTTAATAAAAAAAATACCTTTCGTAATGTCGATTGTTCCACGTATGAATAAAATGAAAATAAAATCTGAAAACTCTCTCTCTCGCTCTCTCTCTCTCTCTCTCTCTCTCTCTCTCTCTCTCTCTCTCTCTCTCTCTCTCTCTCTCTCTCTCTCTCTCTCTCTCTCTCTCTTTGTTTATAAATTTATGTGGGTATTATTATTTAAATGAGCCAGTCGTATAATAATTTGCCATGAGTTGTTAATTGTCCAGGACATGGACCGGGAGAAGTGCGGCACGATTCCGATCGTGTGCGTGGAGCGCGCGCTGTGCATGCGGTCGCTGCTGTCGCTGGTGTCGGCTCGCGAGCGCGCCCTGCTCTACAAGTGCTTCGGCTACAGCCGCGGATGTGGCCTCGAGGTACACACGTCGCACTGTCAATACCCGAGCATGAATATATATCTACTTGTAGCCGATACATTTAAACAGATTTTCAAATGAACACAATCTTGTTAATGTGTCTGTTATTTACACATCAGCTTGTGCTTCAATCCTCGTAACTGACGTTGCATCTGGCTGTAGCAAGAGTCAAGTTATAACACAACCAAACTACATTCTAGACGTTATGAGGTGTTTCCAGTATTCCATAGCAATATTACGCGTATTTTATGTCGTGTAAATATATATATTGAATTATAGTAGTGAGGTGAACCTTTGGGACGCCCAAGTTATCGTTCTCTTAAAAGACCGTATTCAATAGTAGTTTGACCTGTACCTAGCAACGTGTATACAACATTTAATGATATCGAATGAAGGATACGGCTGTAATAAAACCAACAAATATTGATCTATTTAACCAAGATTAGAACTTGCCCCTTTAGTGTGCTACCGTACTTACATTCTATGAACGATTTATTTAAGAGATTGTCTTCTTGATGCTAAGTTCACTAAAACCACTTCCACATGACAAAACTTATATGCGTGATTGTCTTTTTAGGCTCCGTGATATCCTTGTTACAATGACCCAATTTAAATCCAAGGTTACGGGTATGGCTTACCTTTTTCATTTTAATTCAAATCGGTTCGTGTAGATACTAAATGCCCAAATTAAACTTTAAACGTTGCATTATATGTACTTGCAAAAAGACATGCTACACAATTGTTGGAAATGAACAGCCTCATATTTACAGGTTACGAATAGTCAGACAGTTCATAAGTATGTTCAAATGTAAGTAAGACACTTATAAGTTTAATGAGCGCGTCTAATGTTTCAGGTCAACTACCGAGCGTTCTGCAAGGCTCTGGACGTGCTACACGCCACCGCCAGCGCCCAGCCCTGCTGATCTCAGTCAGGGTGCAGTTTTGTTCCGTTTTACTGTCCACAATTTTAGTACCTGTTATACAAATGTTAGAAAACAATATAACTGTTTTATTTGTACATCATCTCTATTTACAAAGAGGCCCTTTGACAGGTGGTTTTGGCCCAACTAGGTGCGTGACTTTGAAACGTAGTCTTAAAAAGCACCTACCTACCATCTATTGGTATTAGGTATCAAATAATATTGGTTATTTTGTTTTGTTCAATAGATGTAAAGAAGAACGTGTACACCTAGTAATATATGTGTGCATCTGGATCGAGGGCCCATTTTTTAAATCTTTACAAAACGAACTATGATTTAAAGGGAAATTAGTAAAAAAATAGTAAAAACTAAGAGCAAAAAAGGCCATGAATTTTTTAAACGAGAATTAAAACTGTTAGGATGGATTAAATAACTTGGGCCCTTAATCCAGACGCTTGCATAAAGTAGCATAGCCTAAATATCAGAAAGTACTACCTCTAAGCCAATCATTTTCATTTATTTAGTTAAGATTTTCGTAAAGATTTTAAGAAATTTCTAAATATGTAGAAAATGACACTACAGATTTATGGCGCGGTAGGTCCCTCAATTCATTAATGTCTAATGATTAATTGTATTTCTGTACTCCTTGAGACATTCATGTTTTGCAAATTCCTTGGTAAAGGCGTTAATATTAAAGGTAATTAATGAGACCTAGATACACCACTCGTTCAATCTGTAATGTCATATTCTACATATTTGGGAATATCTCAAAATCTAAGAAAATATATGTATACTAAATTCTTAAATTAAATGATTGACCCAGAGTATATCATTAACTACAAACTGAAACAACTTTTGAACCAAGTTCTAGAAATAACTTTATTGTCGATGAAATTATCAGCAAAATGAGTACGTACATACCTACCTACAATAATAATCTCTACCATGAGATACGCATCACGGTACAAGTCCCATGCCTGCCATTTCCTTGTCTTTATTGTATGTAATCTTGTGATAAAATAAAAATAGCTATAAAGCTATATGTAGCTATAAAATAAAAATAGCTATAAAGCAATTTTTATTTTATCATTTGGATGCACAAATTTTTACTTACCATAAACAATTACACGTCGTCAACGACGAAATTTGGAACTTTTTCCGCTAGGGCAACTCACACGAAGTCAGGTGACCAAAAATTGCCCATAATGAAGTGTAAAACACAGTTCTTATATTTTTAAGCATGTTTTCAACCGTTTAAAACTACCTATTTAGTTGGGGTTTAAAACGGCAACATTTTATTCAAACGGTTGTTTTACATCTATATTTTTAGATAGATTATTTATCATGCATAACGTCAGAACTGAGGAGCCAAATAAAATGAGTTCATTTTCTAAATCCATTCAGTTTTACTACTTTCTGCTGATGCTACAAATTCAACGCCAGCTACTAAATGTTTTTGAAATTGAATATAAATTTTGACCTATTACTTTCATTGCAATTCACGCTCTTAAATAATCTAGGTATATTTAAAAGAAAAACATTAAAAGTACAGCCACATTAAAAGTAATTTATATTCTTGAATATCAACAGTACTGGATTCAGATTTTATTACGCACTACACACTATTAGGTATTACTAAATGATACAATATTTTTTAAATATTCATTAAATACTTACCTACCCGTCTTTCATGTGGCTCCTCAATTCGGATGTTTAGATTGAGGAGCCACTTTCACATTAATATAACTTTGGATATATGTTACTACAAAACTCAGGATTTGTCCTACAAAATTATTTCCTCACCTACTAAATAAGGGGGGGGGAGTTTCCGTTTAAAATCTGAAATGGCTCCTTAATCATTACGGACATACTTTTTTGTACTTGTCCTGAATTTTTTGGACCTCATACGGTATATAAACGGAATTTCACGATAACATTGGTCCCGCCATTATGATGAGTTATAATGACGAAACCATGACTGTACTTCAAAATTATAACGAATCACGTTCTGATAGGTTTTTAGCACCCGATTAGTAAGAACTTCCAAAAATCAACAACGGCTGACGGAGATCTCAGTAGTTTTAGCCAATAATTATAAATAGGTAGGTACCTACCTATATGTAGTAGATAGATAGATCTTACTAGTGGTCAAACTCAAGAATGTAAGTCAGATTAGGGCTGAGCTATCAGAGCAGGAGGGTTAACTAGGGGGTTACCTACCTAATCTTAATGAAAAAGTATATTTGCCAAACAAGGTCTGTCGACCGTGCTGGTTGACACACTTTGTTTTGCAAACATACTTTTTAGTGGGTACCTCTACCTGAAGATGAAATTTCGACCTCACAACACAAGAATTAAACTGACAACTCTGCATTTTATTAATACGTCTCAGCATAGTAATAACTTTTAAGGACGTTTTAGTAAGGAGGTGGGAAAGTCAACATATACCCATATTTATAACAGCGGATGACAACTCATTCAGTGACAAACACAGACAAAAAGTCAATATTTTATTTACACATTTGTTTTATTAGACATACATTTGTATATCTCCAGTTTGTTCATGACCGACGATTACTTAGTCTAAAAATTTAATTTCATCCCTAGTCATTGGAAGAAACATCTAATTTGTATAAAATACATGATTCTGATTGCTCAATCCTTTACCAAATTAAAGTACAAAACTACATATATCTGCGATGAGATCCAGATCAACTGACAGAGTGAGACAGAGATGAGGCGACTCTACTACACGTTCACACACGCACGCACGCGGACACACACAACTCGTCACAAGACGGCTCGCCGGCGTACAGGGACATCGTTACAATTTTATAAGCTCTGTAAACTATTACTCCTATAATTCAGTACGTAAGGTAAATTTCCAAGACAAATGTCAATAATTAACTAATCAATCTGCAATAATACTCAGAGAAATCTATAATCCATACTATATTATATTTATTTACGCTAGAGCCGAACGAAGGCGGCCATATCGCAACTGACAGTATTTACCCTTAAAAAATCTTCTTAAAATGTTATCAATTACTTCCTTAAATTAATTATGTGGAATGAAATGACGCGCCCCCAGCGCGGCGAGGCAAGAAGCGCGGGGGACACTCATGACCGGTGACTTAACCTGCAGACAAAGTACAACCGCTTTTACTAAACGTTACACAACCACCGACCATATCAGGAGGCAACTTTGAAACTACATTTGAAAAGCTGTCAACAAAGGGGTCAAAAAATAAAATAAAGCAGTGGTGGACAAGAGACAGTAGGTAGAGTAGGTACAGTAGGGTAGGGTAGGCTCACCTCACTATTGGACTGAGATGACTATCGGCAGGTACTCGCGTGTTTAGTAGGGCTGGTGCCTCTGGTTGGCGCGGCCGCCGCCGCCGCCGCCTCCGCGCTGCTTGCCCCCCTGGTACCCGGCTGTAACGTCACGCACTTGTAACGCGCCATTCTCGCGAACAGAACTTATTCATAAAAGCCTAGCGCTTTAATGATTTTAATCAACATTAACCACGATCTCAATCATGCAAGCGATGCACCGACACAACAGAGCTCTTTTTATTGGGTGAAATGTAGGAATCGTCTAAATCTAAGTAGCGACGCCCGATCCGACGATCGACTTCGTCGCTGATGCTGTCGGTCGAATCGGTCGCCGCGACTAGTAGGTAGTAAGTGAGGCAAAATAAATTTACTCAATACACACAAAAGCTCGCGTCGATGCACGACTCGTGTGGCGCTTCGGTCGCACGGCACCTACACGGATCTGTCGTTAGTACGAGTTACATCAAAACAAAATAGCGTTCGAACCATACAATATATAGCCAGTCGACAGTCAACCAAACGGTGTGAGTAACAATTTAGAGAAACGAATCGGAGTAATAAGTTGGACCGGAGACAGGCCGTGAAATACCGATTCGTAGTAAGCGCCTAAAGCGAGATCAAGTGTCATGCGACCCGCCAGCGCGGTGGCAACCTACTCTACAAAGTACAGTACAGACAGGACAAGGCAGTGCAGTACCTTTGCCGCGCGGAGCCGCGCGTGCGCCGTACCCGCCCTCGTACCCTCCGTACCCGCCGTAGTCTGCCCACAACAAAACATTATGTAGTCGTGTGCGCCGCTATAGAGCGTAGGAGGATCTATCTTACACAACTACCGAGGGCTCTTCTCAACTTACTCGGCTGGCTCGCACGAACCGATTCTTGCCGGGCACCTGGCGAGGTGGGGTTAGTGGCCCGTGCAGCGCGTTTCGAGGCGTCGTGTGCACATCCCATAAGGGCAGCCTACCCTAAGTCCAGGAGTGTCAGACGATCACTTGTAAAAACATGAGCCTAGCTTGAACTCCGACGTTAAGGAATGTTTACAGTACCTACTGAGTAAACGCCCACGGGTCTTTGACCCCATGTCGTCGACCTTGATGGGATCAATAACTCCCGAGTACTTTTAAATATTGAGGCTCATTTCTTTAGTTTGTCTTTACAATTTGTATAGCTTGAATATTTGTCTAACTGTCCTGGACTACTATTGTTGTTTATGAGCTTCCTTCCATGACTCATCTTACTTACTTTTCAGTAATTATTTCAATTCCACTGAATGTGTATATTTATCTCAAGGAAAATGCATGCTGTTAGTAACTAGGATGTAGGTATGTAATGTCTCGAAGCTTTGGTGGGTCAGAAAGGGCAGGGAATGGACAAGGGTTACATATGGAAACACATTGAGAATTTTTGTAACAGTGCTTTATTCAAAAGCTTCATCATATCTTTATCACTTTCACAATGTCTCTCCATATTTACCCCATTTCCCAAATGTAGCATGTAGCGAGAGCGTCGTAGGTAAAAAAATTACCATAAAAATAATTAAAAAGAAAAACTCGAGCAACATGGCTACATATGTCAAAAGTGGTATTACAAACGAACGCTTATAAACATAAGGCAGATAACATACATATGTACAGAATAGTTATACCCGTTGAAACAATGATAAAGAGCGATAGCCGAATGGGCAACTGCACTACGAGCTAGGCACGAGCGCGGGCGCTCGTACAAATAAACAAAATAATGCAACTTAATATGATTTAGCAAAGTTATATGAGATGATTAATTCTAGGTTCTCGAAATTTAGACAGAGCTGCGATTATATTCAGATTATACACTGTCGCCTCGACAACATTCACTACACATTATCTCGATAGAACATTAAATATATAGAAAAATAAATATTTTCCTACACACTAAATTAAATACCTAAGCTTCGCGTGATGTCGATCTCCTCGTAAAATAAACGTTCACTATAATGTAAATAGGCATATCTCGAGGACGGAGTCGCGCCTCGCTCGCGTCGCTAACCTAGCGCCCGCCTTACTCTACATGTCTCACATTATATTCTAGGATCAGGTAACATCAGTCGAGGTAATGTGTCGGTGAGCGGGCTAGCGGGGGCTCGCCACTATACTAGTACTGCTTGCCGCGTTTACCGTAATTGGGGTATCCAGAGTAATCGTAACCGCCGTAGCCACCGTATCCGTCGTATCCGTAGCCGCTATAGCCGTAACCGTCGTATCCGCCGCCGTAGCCACCCTGGCCGTAGCCATAGCCGCCGTAGCCACCGTTACCCCAAGCGCCCTGGCCGCCGTAGCCGCCGCGGCCGCGCCCCCCTCGCAGGCCGCGTCCCCCGCGCCCGCCGCGCCCTCCCATGCCGCCGGGGCCGTCGGGCTTCGGCGTCGCGCGCTTCACGTCCACCTGCGGAAACAACTCTGCTCATTACTCGCTTCCTAGAGTTGCTGCAAAGATGCTGTTACTACACAGGCTATCAGAATCGTGGGTATAGTATTCTTCAATATTTAATCAGAAGCAGAACTGTAGTAGATCATCAGTTTGAAATTGAATTAACTTAATACTTTACCCTTTGGTTTGGATACTGACCTCCTTTCCGGAGATAGTCTGCTTGGGTGTCTTGAGCAGTTCATTGACCACTTGCTCGGAGTCGAATGTGATGAAACAGAATCCCTTCCTTTGGTTCTTTGTCTTGTCGAAAGGCATCTCAACTTCCATGATCTGCAAGCGAAATATGACTATGATTTCTAATGTCGAGAAATGCCAACTGAGCCTAGAGTTAATTAATGTTCTATCAGTGGCCCGGGTTACTCTTCAGATAAGTCAAGAAGAAATTATCTCACCATTACCGGATTTTTCATCACATAGTTGTGTTTAGCAAGTACAGATTCGTGATCTTCGTAATGACACTTACCGTTCCAAAGTTGCTGAAGAAATTCTTGATTTCCTCATCTGAAATTTCACTGCTCAGGCCGCCGACGAAGATCTTGCCTTGTCGCGCTTTGGCCTTTTTGGGATCTACTTTCTTGTTATTAATTGTGTGTTCACCAGCAGCCATCACTTTGTCTATGGAGTCAGGAGCCTTAAACACGATAAAGGCAAACCCTCGTGATCGACCCGTATTAGGATCAGTCTTGACATTGATGCTCTCGATTTCTCCATAAGCACTGAAGTGATCACGTAATTCCTCTACAAAGTAAGAATACAATTAATATCAAGAAGACACCAACTTAACTTATAAATTATCTAAATACTTCAGAAGTGTGGGTTATAGTTTCTACAACTAATAATCAGAAGCAGAACTGTAAGATCATCATAATTATGTATGTATGTGTAGGCTAGGTATTTTTTATTAAAGAACATCGGCCAAATCATACCTGAGCATGGCCACATGTCATATTTATGACAAAGTCCATTATTTTTTAGTCTTAGAAATAACAAGAAATATATATTTTAGGAAAAGATACTTTAATTAAATAAACTTTAATTTTGTCAGAAATGCTTAGGTTAATATTCAGAACACACCTAGCAACATTTCATTTTGCTTATAAAACGACTCCATTTCTTAGTATTAGCAGTAACTCATTGATTAAATGGGTAAGTAACAAATTAACTAGAGATTAATTTAATTGATTCTTGTCATAACTAATCATGTGTGTGTGTAAGTAATTATCAGTTTTACACAAATGCGTAAAAAGGAACATCAAATGTTATTGACGTAAACGTTATAAATCTAAACATTTTGAGAAAAACATGTTTATGTTAATGTATTTTCGATGTATTAATCAAAAATAAGGCCTTGAAGCTCTAGTTTTAAAAGACGACTACGAATAAAATATAATTTTTTTTAAGACTTGTTTCATAAGGTATTTTTGGTGACTATCTGATCTGTCGTATTATGGTAAGTAAATAGAAACAAGGTCACTAAGAACTGAACTTTATCTGCCTTTAAAATTGACTTTTTTTTTTGTTTAGACCTCAAGAGCACTTCTACAACTTGTTTCTGTCCACAGGAAATTAAATTCAGGTAAATTTGGGCTGATGTTCTTTATATTCTATTATTATTTATAATTAATATATATTTCTGTAAGTGTGAAATTGAACTACAAAGAGCTTGACAATACACTAGGTACTTACTGTCTGTGGTCTCCCAGCTCAGGCCTCCAACAAAGAGTTTTCTGTGAACATAGCAATGTTTATGATTAAAATATCAAGAAATGGATTATGTAGACTTGTGTCTCGATTTAGAAACTGACTTAAAAATTACAATTTATCAATTAACACTATGCAGTACTTGTTTACAGTACTTTACAGCTACTATTTTTTCAAAACAAACTCCAAGCACTGCAGCAAATCAAATAGACAACCTGTAAGTTACACAAAGTAAAGTCTGGAAATTTACATGTTAAATTAAGACAGCGAAACAAGATGTTACAGTGATATCGCAAGATTTGAAATTGGCAAGTGGAAACGAGGCCCAAAATTAAGTGGCCCATACAATCTAGTCAGTTTGGTCATAGTTTTACTTTAGTGTGAGCCCAGCGGATATATACCATGACGTCCTCCGGCGGCAGCTGCGGCGGCGGCGCAGGCTCACACCTGCAGAGAGACACAGCGTTAGTAGCGCCAAACTGACCGCCGCCCGCTCGCGGCCCGCCGGCACTCCCTCACCGGCGAGCGACGCGTTACCGATTTAAAATCTTGCAACTACCTATGTACGCTTTACCGCTAGCCTAAGAACGGCGGATGGCCGCTCAGGACACGTAACTCACGAACCAAAATAAACTATCGAAGAGTGACACGAAAAATCAATAACTGATCCGAGCCGGTGCCGGGTGCAAAAGAGACGCGCAAATAAGACGCCATTTTACTTCATGCGGCTCGGAGATAATCTAAATTTAATAATAGACCTGGAAATGTTCTGAAATAAAAACTATAACTTCAGAGTCTGAACTTATATAATAAAGAGCGCGCTGCAAAGACGAAAAATTGCAATTTTGAAAAGATCTTAACGATTGAAACAGATTCAAGCGGTATGTCGATAAGGATAATGGCAGACGCGCCGCCATTATTATGGCGGATCCGAATAAAGAGTAATAATTTTACAACTGGTAAACTATAAATACACTGTAAAATAAATAATACGATTGTAGTTATAGTAAGCAAATAAACATATCTCAGAAAACAAATTACTTAAAAGAAAACCAACAATACCTGTCATCATCACGGCCGGGGGCTTCAGCACTATTATTTTCTTGCTGTGAATCTCCACCACCATTCTCTGCATTTCCATTAAGTTGATTTTCGGTTACGTCTTGTGCAAAATTATCGTTATTGGCCATGACTTATGTTTAGGCTAAAATTAATAATAAACTTAAAGCTAAGGTCCACGCGACCTTTAACACCGAATGCTAAATGCAGAAGAAAGATAGGAAATGCGTGTTGAGTCGGCGCGAAATCTACCGTTATGTTGGCTACCTTTACTGAGACGCGCTTTTTTTGCAAACAAAGCATCCCTACTACTGAAATCAACCAATCAGGAAAGAGTAGCTCAAAGAGGTCAATGGCGTCTATACCGTTACTGACAGAGACAACTATATGAATTGAACGTAAAGGAAAGAGATAAAGCATGCTAACAATCCATGAATCAATAACTTGTTGCCAACATCAGAACGGAAAATTTACCGCGCATGTTTCTTTGTTAAAGAATGTTGAAAAAGAAACTGAAAAAATTAAGTCGATTTTCCGTTTATTTAAAAAAGGATAGAATATAAATTTTAATCGATATCATCATTACAATTATACATTTACACATTATAAATTTAAATTTAAAATTTCTACATCGTTAAATGACATAACATGATCAGTCGTAATGTGGACATGACCATGTCGAAGGTGGGTCTACAGAAATTCATGCCCACCTTGTTTAAAACCATTTTTTTATTCTTTAGATCTCTGTTCATATTTCTTCTAGCAATATAACAATTAGAATAATGCGTTCCATAATTTGTTAAATCTGCAGGTCATTGAACTCAGGAGTCACTACGAAATGGACGCAGGTCAATAATATACCTGAAATATGAAATGTATTAAAAAAAAAAAATAACTACCTCTAGTTCATTTTCAATTCTATTTAATTATAGGTTCATACTTTTATTGCAGACATGTTTTAAACACCGATATGGTCCCAAATACAGGCCGTTCTAAGATGATTCTCAATTTGCAATGTACTATATTTTGTCTATGGAAAACCTCGATTAATAGAATGAACAGTCAGTAAAAGTTTATGTTAAATGTGTGTGAGAATACTATTTTTTAGTTTAATTATTTTTTGTTGATTGCTGTAAAGTTCAATTATTTTTGATAAATAAAATCCGAACAGAAAGTGTAGTGTGCTCGTTTGTTGTCGTCAACATTAGAACGTCCGGTGTGTTAATTTAACCTAAAATAAATAATCAGTTATAAAATACGTTACGTTTAAAGATATTACATTAACATTATTTGTAAAACAAAATATACTTACACATATTCTTATGAAAATGTAATAGGAAAGATCAATTGAAGCTAACTAATAACAGAATTTTAAAAATATTACAATAACGAATTGAAGCAAAATTATTATTTAGTTTTACACCAATAATGTGTAATAATTACCTACCTGCACTGGCTCAAATTTTATTTAACACTAAATAAGTTTAGTGTTTCTAATAAAATTTCGCTCAAAAATAGCTTAGATTTCCAATCAGTAGTTGATAAAATTAGACGTCGTAATTACATAAAACCATATATAAATGTTTTATTATGTTTGTGGGAAAAATATTATAAATATAAACTGACTAGATAGAAAAAAAAAAATCTGGAACTTTGGTTATTCAGTGTTGCAATATAAAGAACTTCCACCCTTACACATCCATCCGTCCATGGTCTTAATAAAACTTTTCGTTTAACTGTTTTTTTTTCAAAATGTTTATACCAAACCCACTTTTGGTATAAACATTTTTTACAATTTTACATTTTTTACATTTACAAGAAAAAAATAACATTTTGATATTTTCGAAAATATTATTAAAATATTCTTGTTACTTAAATATTCGCTTCCTGTTCGCAACTTATGTACGGGCGTACAACGTTACTGTTTGAGTATTGAAATTCAAAATTCAGAATGAACGTGTTTTTATTTGGTTGGAAACTAGCAGTACTCATTTATATAAGAAACTAAAACAAAAACTTAATGTGTAATTCATATTCAGCACTTAATCAGCTATTTTAATCACTGATATTGCAAAAAGGTTTTTTGTCAGTCAGTGTTACCAGGAGAACTCAAATAGTAGTTGAAAGACTTTTTATAAGCCAAGCGTAAGCCAGAAAAACAAAATAATCGCTATCTTGTATATGGTAACACACTCACTAAATTGACACCCGAACGGTGAGGTAGGCTCTTTTTCTGTTTTTAGTACTTATTTATTGTGAAAATTAAGCGATTTTCGTGATAATTTGTTGCCGATTACACCACTTTGATGCCTAAATTTTACTGAGGTAAGCATTTTCTTTCGAAATTAACATATGAATCAGACATTTATATTATTTTGATTGTCGCCGGACTTATTTCTTTTAAAGGTTAATGCTTAAAATTTTCTAGTGTTGTTACCTATAAGCATTGTGTAGTCGTTTAAGCACCATTATTATCATTTTTTGGCACTGTACACTGAAACTAATGCTGAATTGTGACATTAACGAGTCTTCTGTAACAAAAGAACTTGATAGTCTGATCGGAGTCGCCATGCGTGCTTTGACAATATGATCGGGATTAAGTCCTTTTATGCCCTTTGATCAAAATGCACAGAGTGATTGTTTACCTTGCATATCTAGCGCACGTATCAATATTAGTTTAAAAAAGAATCGCAGTGTGTTTACTACCATAGTTCTCAGTTTGGCTTGTGTACTGTCATACGTGATTTATGTGTCAAGATAAGATGGGTGGTATGCCAGCCTACATGTCTATCACTTGGGTACTGACTTGGTCATGGTTTTAAAGAATATTTTATATCTAAATATTATATATGCAAAAAGTTTCTTAACTTTTTGTTGCAGTGATTGGCACATAGTTTTTTTTTTATATAGGATTTGTTTGAGTGTTGAAACTATGTTCAAGTTGGCTAAGTCAAACTGATGTGTATATGTTTGACACAGTCAAAAACGATATATGTATGTAAATTTATGCATGTTTGCAGTTAATTGTTGATATTAATCATAAGTTCATATTTATAAACCAAAATATATTTATGTTTAAATATTACTAGTAATTATGAACTGTATCTCTGAAACATTATCTCCCTGACATAATTATATGTACATAATTGTAATACTTTCACTGCAACATAAATGAACTAATAAAGTGTTATACTATAGATAATATAGTATATATAATATAGATTCATATATTAAAACAATATCACAAAGACATGCCTTTGTCACTCTTCGCATCCAAACTGTGTCAATGCCTTTGCCAAGTAGATATTAAGTGTTGTTTTCAAACAGCAAGAAATCAGTACTATTTTTACGCTTCCCTAGTCGTTTAAGAATTATCTAATTAACTGTAAATGGGCCTTGTGCCATAGTGCCTTAGAACTATCTTATAGTTTTAAACAACATTTGAGGGGACGGCAAAAGAAATATCAGTCTAAAATTCAAAAGAGCTCCCAATAGCACACCCATTTAAATTAAATGGCAGATATGGTACTGGCAGGATATTGATGATTTTTACAAAATATGTACAACATTATTTTAGCCTTTATTCCAAAAACACCAAGCTATTACATCACCACTAATTGATCGTATATTTAAGTGCTGTAGATTAAATATTATAATGTGTCATTTTAATTATTACAAACATTGTTTAAACAACTTTACAGTACCATTGACTCATGAAAAACATTTAAAAAAATACAATGAATATATTTAAAGATAAAAAACGATTCAGAAGAGAAAACTGAAACAGTTTAATTGCCAATAAAGATTTTGATTTTGAACGTATGTGAAAGCTAAAACCCACTGCATCTTCATTCAGCATTTATTTTAATAATTTTAATGTTGCAATTAATGAAATAAACTGACTGTTATATAATATTTTGAGTCTCTCAAAATTTGTGATAATTTTTATTTTGGGTTTTGTTTCTTGTTGATCAAATCATTATCTTCTTATACATATATAGAAATGATTGTGTTTGTTTGTTGGTATCAGGCATAGATCAAAGCACATAGACAAAATGACTTTAAGGGTAGTCAAGGAAGCCACTGGTAAAAAGATCATGAAAATACAATACAAATCACATTGAAATGCAATATTCATTAAATTGCTATAATTTTATTCTAAATTAAAGACAACTGAATTTTTGTGATAAATAGAAGTTCAGTAGTTTTTTGTCCTAGTGGTGTATAATTTAGATGCAAACAAAAATATAATTCCATTGAGATTTAACAAAATTTAATAAACTGTGTATAAATGCTATGTAACAGCAGGTATACCATTATTGTGTCAAACAAAACTTAGTTGTACTTACATAACAGAATTATGTTATTTATTTCTTGTAGTACTCATTTTTACTTTGCTTTTGGTTAAAAAATATTGTTAACACCTCATGAACATTAGTATTACATAAGACTTAAATACTATATTCATTACATTACTGCTTTCAAATGCCTTGTAATTGCATAATTGTTAAACCAAATATTAAAAGAAGTGATTTGGTAACAGTCAGATATGACGTCATAACTCATTATTTCATACAAGTTTAAATGAGACATGCAATTTTGACATTTAAAAAAGAGATCTGTTATGTACTTATGCTAATATGTACTTGGTATATATTGTGAAAAGAAACAGTGTGGATAAAAATATGTTTGCAACGTTCCAGGGCAGCGTATAGCAGAGGGCTGTCGTGTAGCGCTGACTGAACAACAGCAATGGTAATGGAGGCGTCCCCATCCCCGCAGAGCGTTGGCCGCGAGTTCGTCCGCCAGTACTACACGCTGCTGAACAAGGCGCCTGCCCATCTGCACAGGTGGGTGGTGGGTTCCTCTGGACCCAAGAGAAGCAAACTTGTATACTTACTTATAGAACTCAGGAACTATGTACATGGATATATTTATGCATACAAATGTTTACACTAAATTACACCTATACTATATATTAGGTTATTTAATTGGAGCAGATTCTCTGTGCAGTGTGTGAGTACATACATAATGCAGTATACACACTAAAGTATGCAAAGTATTTTATAAATGATAATGGAAAGTACTTTTAGTGGCTAACAAGGTAGGTATTTACTACAAACTATTTCCATCATTGTTTACTATCAGAGCTAAACAGATAAATGAAAATTTCAGCTGTCTCTCTGAGATTATTTGTTTACTAGAGGAGGAATTCTGTCTCTATCTAGTTTTGATCAGAGCTTAGGGTGACTGTACTAGTCACAATGAATTTTTATGGAGGTTTTCTACTTCATAACATCCTATCTCCACTGGGACTTTATTTTACTGGACAGGTTCATTTTGTTATTTACATAACAAGCAAATGTATGTCTTAATATGTCAACGCGTCGCCACGTTATATTTATATTATTTTTCATTATTGTTATTTAAATGACAATAAAAAGAAACGGTTTTTCTTAAAAATATGAAATTACTATTTATTATTCTCACTTTTTCTAAAAAGTAATTACGATATTTCGTATCTGGCAGACGTCTTGCGACGGCTTAATTTTTTTTTTTTTATTGTTTGAAACGTTTAACAAAAACGGGCTTTATCTGCTTTTATCTTAAGTTCTTGGAAGCACACTATACTGCTGCTAACAAAAAGAAAAGAATACAAAACCATAATAGCGTTGAAATGTAATCTATTATAATACACGAGATAAAGGATAGGTTATAGCATACAGGTAATTTAATTATTGTCACAGTTAAATGACCACCACACCCGTGAAGCTAATTTATTTATTTTACTACAATATCTGTGTAGTGACGGATTAAGAATATGGAATGCCACTACCTACATTCATCCCGTGGGTGTCGTAAGAGCCGACTAAGTACGCAAAACAACGCAGGACACCAGCACTGTAAAAAGAAGGAAAACTTGACACAAACCCTTTACCAACCCGTCTGGCCAGCGTGGCATAGTAGGCCAAAGCCTCTTTTCTGGGGAGAGGCCTATGTCCAACAGTGGACTATTAAAGGCTGATGATGTGATGTGATCTATATAATGATTCTGTTGAGTACTTCTTTGTAACAATATGTATGTGAGTCAAATCTTAAACGAAGCAATTTAACGCTATAAAAAAAACAGTAAAATAAACTTTAGAATATGACGTTATTTAATAATAATAATATAAATTAACATATTAAAAAATCAGAAACCCAATTGCCTAAACGAAGTCGGCACTATACATTACAACCGCCATTTTGCTGCCGCCGCGAACACAGGATTCTTACAATAGCCCATACATTTAAAAATTATGTTGTAGTAATAAAATTCGCAGGCACAAATTATGGACTATCTTAAAAACTTTATTGGCAGTCATATAAAAAGGTAAAATTCTTATATGAGTAACTGCAAATCTCCATTCTCTTTCTAATATGGTGCAGGAAATTGCAGTGCAGCAACCACCCACATAAAAACTAAGAATGTTAACATTTTCGAGATGTTATTACTTTAGGCCGTTGTCTTTAAATCCTCTTTTTATGAAGCTTTCTCTCAGTCGTTAACTTAAAACGAAACAATAGCTTTACACATTAACAAACTGATAGTTTAGACCCAAATGTTTATTGACCAACTGCAAAAACACAAAAAAAACGTGCTGGCTATACCATTCCAGGTAGATGTTATTGTTCTACGTACAATTACCACAGGACTCTGTATTAAGGCTCTAACAACTGTTAACAATGTTTATCTCTTTGTTATATTTTAAGCTAGGTATTTTCGTAAACGTACAACTTACGTTAAAAAAAAAAAACTAAGGATGTTAAAATTTTCGTGATGTTATTACTTTAGACCGTTGTCTTTAAATCCTCCTTTTATGAAGCTTTCTCAACGTCGTTAACTTAAAACGAGACAATAGTGTTCCACATTAACAAACGGATAGTTTAGACCCAAATGTTTAACGTGCTTGCTGTACCATTCCAGGTAGATGTTATTGTTTTACGTACAATTGCCGAAGGACCCTGGTATTTAGGCTCTAACAACTGTTTAAAATGTTTATCCCTTTATATTTTAAGCCAGGTATTTTCGTAAATGTACACCTTACGTTTACAAAGATACCAAATAACTTTTCCTTCACATGCTCCGCTCGCAAGGATACTCTAACCTCAGTGAAGATCCAAATAACATATTTATGATGGTCATTATATTATAGATGTGATTTGCTTTGCCATTTCCAAAAAAAACACATGGTGTTGATCTGTACTGTATGAAATGTATTTTTGTAGAGACCACACGCAACTCATGCCATCCCCCAACCAACCCTTTGGCCGTTGAACACTCAGGGACATAACATAAACGACATTATTTGAAAACTAAGCATCTTTCATCCCTGCACACGAACATGTGTGACTTTCTGTTCACTCAGTTCCGGGCCGTTATCATAATTCGTACGCAATTTGTTGTTCCTCATAGATATGAGCCAAAATAATTGTATAAATATGTCTGTCCTATAGATAGATGTTATTTAAAAGAAATTTTTCAAAGTCATCTGGCTGAGTCACCCGGCGTGCGCCGTGAACGCTTTATCTTGATAACATTACGTATTGTTTGTTAGTTATTGTATGTATGACTTATTGACACTCAAAGACATACCAAGTGGAAGTACCGCTAGGTATGTGTGTCATGATGGATACCTACCTTGGAATTGAAGTCTAGTATATGAACATAATTATGTAGTAAACAAATAGAAAATGTTTCATAGGAGGCTGGAGAGTTTAAATTCTTTCTCGCTGTACGATAATTATAATATTTTACACACAAAATTGTAGGTCCTAACGACTAAACTTTGATCTAGTGGATAGTGATCTTGACAGTTGTTTACTGACCGATCATGTTCTGTCTGGGTGTAATTTACCTAATTATACGTTTGTAATTCATACAATATGTTTATCAGAAGTCTGGTTACCACGGAACAGGCTGTGCTTAGTTTCAGACGGTTTGTGTGATAGTCGGTTCGGGTCCGACATGCCACCGATAGGTGGTATCCGAGGGGATTGCCGCACGGAAAAAAAAAAACACAAAGACTGTTTGTCTCAAGTTAATGTTTAATATTACAATGGATTCTAAACGCAAAGACATACAATAGACAAAGTTATATTTAAAGTATCAGTTTAATTATGTAACTTCTAATGTGAACTTAATTGATTCAGACATTTGCACTAATAAACCATTAAAGTTTTATCACGATCTTGTTTTACTGTTTGTTTTTACTGAAAATTTTGAAGGAATTTTAGCTCGTAGCATCTCATTCTATGTTATGTACATAGAATGAGATGCTACGTTAGTACGTAGTTAGATAATACATCTGCATTTTAAAATAAAAGATGCTTGTTTTTAAGCGTGACAATACTACAATAATAAAAGGAAAGAAATAGTTCCCACTGTCTTGTCTTGTTACCTGAACCAGCCCTTTATAACAATTACTATAATTCTTACAAAGAGTACAAATGGCGCGCTTTCAACAATGCGTTGCAGCCACGTGGTATATTTGTCATTTATTGTTATTTCATAAGTAGACGTAAAATGCACCAAATTAACTAATCACGAACTGGATCTCAGAAAATGTTAATGAGAGAACGTTAATGTATAATTATTCTTTTATAAATGACCGTAAATTAAAATCTACTTATAGATAGATATTTAAAATTAGGAACACAACAATTATAATTCAATCAATAGTCATTACTTTTTTGAGATAGCGGTTAATAAATTACACGTACATTATGTGCAATTTATTAATCTTCTTTTAATTGTCATTAATAATTGTAAACTGTATTTATTGACATTCATAGTTGCTACTATCCATATCCATGTTAAATAACAATAATTTTAGTTACTTTCATTGTTTTATATTTGCACACCGGCATAGTAAAGCATGAATTGGACAAGAGAACGTTCCCACATCTATACTAATATTATAAAGCTGAAGAGTTTGTTTGTTTGTTTGAACGCGCTAAGCTCAGGAACTACTAGTCCGATTTGAAAAATTCTGAATTTCAGTGTTAGATAGCCCATTTATCGAGGAAGGCTATAGGCTATATATCATCACGCTAAGACCAATAGGAGCGGAGCACCAATGAAGAATGTTTCAAAAACGGAGAAAATTTATTACTATTGAGAGACGCAGACGAAGTTGCGCGGATCAGCTAGTATGTGATAATAATGTAAAAATAAGTTGGTGCCTTGTACTAATATCACAAGACTCTAAATGGAAAAATAAAACACTCAGAATTGTTAGTAACTTCGTCGCAACAGATTTCTGTGACGTTGGGTTTGGACAAGGGGCGGGCCGAGGATGACGCTATTGTTTGTTAGTGTTCCTTTTTGCACACTCGTTTGCACATATAATATCATACCACTTTATGACAGGCAAACTTGAAGTACTGACCTGATACGTTACAATCTTCAGTAAGGTTTAAAGTAATTTCTCCCTAATAATTAATTTTCCCCATTGCCGCGATATTTTTTATTGAAGTAACGTGATGTTCTGTAGCCTAAGATGTTATATAGCCTTCGTCGATAAATGGGCTATCCAGCACTACAAGAACTTTTCATTTCGAACCAGTAGTTCCTAAGATTAGACCAACCAAACAAACAAACTTTCGCTTTATAATATTACTAGCGACCCGTGACGGCTTCGCACGGGTGCAATGTGTTGTACATAATTATAAACCTTGCTCTTAAATCACTCTCTATTGATGAAAACCGTATTAAAATACGTTGCATAGTTTGAAAGATTTACGGCAAGCGACTTCATTTCATAATATGTAAAGGTACGTTGTCCGTGTTGGATTAAAAATAAATAGTGTCACCACCCCTATTCATCCTGGATCCTGGATGTCGTAAGTGTCGACTATAGGAGCAAACTACGCAGGACTAGAGCACTGCAGGGGAGGAAAACTTGACATAAGCCTATAGGGTTTATGGTTGATTGATTGTTGCTAGATTGTATAGTAATCTATACTATCCCTTTCATCATCATCAGCAACCTTTAATAGTCCACTGCTGGACACGTAGGCCTTGTCGTAGAAAGGAGGCTTTGACCTACTATACCGGCCAGACGGGTTGGTATACCATAGAAATACTTTTGGTCACTAATACAACTATTCAGAGTTAAACAGTTACGCATCGTAACAGCGAGATAATTTATAAAACAATGTGTTTATTTGTACGCAGATTTTATAACAACTACTCGTCGTTCGTGCACGGCGGTCTCGACGCGCCCAACCGCGAGACCCTGCCCGTGGTGGGACAGAAGCAGATCCACAACCGCATACAACAGCTTAACTTCCGCGACTGTCATGCCAAGATCAGCCAGGTGACTCAACATTTACATTTGCTGTTCATTTGTTTGTATACCTCTTAAATATTGGATCAGTCGACATAGGTCGTAATTTTGTTTTATAATACGTTTAGTGTTAACTTTTTCTATTTATCAGATCTTTCACTACAAATCCTTAACGGAATCATTAACTAATTTGACAAGTTCGTGGTTCAAGCGCCGTGGTGGTGGAACACCGAACTGTTAACGTGTTAATGATTCTAATTTGGAGTCCAACTGGTGCCCGCGACTTCGTTTGCGTGGACTTTGAAAAGTGCTGCCTTAGTTAGTTCGATTGACGTCTGACGGTCTGTTGGTCTAATTGTTAGTGGCCCTGACTGCTAAGGGGTTCGATTCCCACCTAGGACAAATATTGTGTGATGAGCACGGTCATTTCGCACCTTTAAAGACAAACCGTTTCTAAACGAAAATATACAATTTTACACAGGAGCTAAAATAAGAAAAATGCAGGACCTTTTTGCAATAGCATTTAAGATCATGGTGGTTTGAGCCATTCTTTATGGTCATAATGATGGATATTTAATTACACTATAACATTAAATTCAAAAAAGCTATTTTTTTTAATAGAACTTTGTTAATTACGATTTTAAATTTTTATAGTAACACTTTTCCATAATTTTTTTTCAATTATGATTAATTATTGTCAAATCCCCATATAAATTATGTAACAAAATATAAAAATACTTGAAAACCCATTATAATAATGATTTTACAATACTACTAAATTGAAAATATTATAATTAGCATTCGCTCAAATTGTAACTGGACAGATAAATAAAATAACACATTCTAATCAATGTTTTATTCTCATTTAAAACGCGAGATCCATACATTTCTTTGACATTATGGCACTTAAATCTTTAGCATTGCTAGGATGTCTTAATAATCAGTCTTTATTCAGTATCTAGTTTTAAACCACAGCAAGTTGTCACTAAACTTCCGTCAAACTTCCGTCATCACTCTTTAACGAACAATTCACAATTAGTATAGACACGATATTGCATTTAGCAAGCAAATCTTATTTAGTTTTGTAACGGTCAAAACCGACGCCATCTATGTCTAAAATTGTTTTTTTTTTAACAGAGTCAAACTCATCGTATAGTTTACGTACTTTTAAGAAAGATGGTATTAATAACTCAATTCTCCAAAAATTTCGTTTAGTAACGGTTTGTCTTTAAACGTGCGATTTGTTCTGTGTCTGGTTGTAATTTATCTATACTATGTATATATTTAACAAACAGACACTTCAATTTTATTTATCTGTATATATAGAAACCTCTCATCTGTTACTTGCCAGTTTCTCAATGATTACATCATCATTAACAACCTTTAATAGTCCACTGCTCGACATAGGCGTCTCTTTAGGAGGTATTGGCCTAATATATAACGCTGCCCAGACTTGTCAAGTGTTCCTTGTCTTTTACAGTGCTGTTAATGATTCCATAGTGGTAATAAAATGTGTATGTGACCGCTGTCTGCGTGCAGGTGGACGCGCAGGCCACGCTGGGCAACGGCGTGGTGGTGCAGGTGACGGGCGAGCTGTCCAACGGCGGCGCGCCCATGCGCCGCTTCACGCAGACCTTCGTGCTCGCCGCGCAGTCGCCCAAGAAGTACTACGTGCACAACGACATCTTTCGCTACCAGGTCTCATTACTAGCTTATGTCTTTCCAATCAATAATCAACTCAACTTGTAGAATGAATTAGCTGGTACCCGCGAATTTGTAAAGCGCTGCGTTAGTGGGTTCGATTCCCGGACGTGTCAAAATTTAATAGGGTTTTTCTGAGAAGAAAAATAATAAAGAGCCTAACTTACTCCTTATACTTATACTGGTGATAATATATTATCAAAATCAGTCCAGCCTTCCAGTCGGAACAAACAGACAGACATACACAAAAAATTAAACTGGTTTAAAGGCGTAGGCATCGTGCAAATAACCGTGTGAACATGAATAAAACCTATTATTTTGACATTTCAAATGATTCACTTAAATTTTATTTATTTGTATAGATTACTAAATAAACAGAACATGTGATCGTGTTCATCAAATTTTCATCAAATGAATCTTCATGAATCAAATGACCTCTCACTAAGTAGTCACGATTACTAACCATTAACCCATCCTTATGTCCTTTGCTGCATTAGCATTTACAATATTCGTTTAGGAGTACAATATCCATGTGTTAACATACATTTATGCAGGCGTATATACCGGCTTTATGGAACTATTTAAATTCATTAGTACTTGTACTTTACATCATATAATAATTAAATTTTTATAACATTTCTGACATTACCCAATAAAACACGCGAAACTGCCATGGCCTGTATTTTGACATAAATAATTATGAAACATTTAAATACAGCGGATAAAGTAGTAGTCGTATAGGCAAGACCACGTAACTGTAGGTATATTAAAAAATTGTATATTAAACGTCGTCAATCGGTTTGCTCGCAGGACATAGTGTTCTCGGACGAGGAGGGCGAGGGCTCCGGACGTTCGGAGGGAGAGGAGGAGGAGGCGGGCGGTGCCGGCGGCGGCTACTTCCCGCCGCCCCCGCCGGCCTCGGCCTTCCCGCCGGCCACGTTCCCGGCGCCGCCCGTGGCTCCCCTGGGCGCGACGGCTCCGCAGGCGCCGCTGGGCGTGGCGCAGCCCCCGCCGCAGGAGCCACCCGCGCAGGCGCCGCCGCAAGAGCCGCCGCAGGTGCTGCACGCCGCTCCGCACGTCAACGGCCACCCGCAGACGCACGACGACTCCGTGGCCCGCCAGTTCGTGGCTGCCGTTCAAGGTATGCTCGCTGGCTTCTGCTGTAGTTTTTTCCCTACATAAATCTATGTCAATATAGGACAATAACAGTATATATCTATATCTACGTGTAGTCCTATTCCAAGGTTTAGACATGTCCGTGAGTGTGACTAGTCATGACGTGTATTTCGTGTACGCAGCGATTTCGAGCGAGCCGGAGCCGGAGGTGGCGGCGGGCGTGGTGTCGCCGCCGCCGGCCGCGGCCGCGCCCGCGCCCGAGCCCGCGCCGGAGCCCGAGCCCGAGCGCGAGCCTACGCCGCCCCCGCACACACGTATGAACCTTCATATAAACTATAATAATATTATAAACATACTTTGAATTCGAACTGTACATTTATTATAGGCCAGTAAGCGACGAAAGAATTATTTAACACTGGTGTTCTGTGAGGCCGTGATATCACCCCAGTTCAGTTTTAATGCACATTCATCTTATTTTATTTATAGCAACCTAATGGTGGTTAGAAGAGAACGCTTTGGGCATTAAGTTTGTTTATATGTCATGATTATTCATAACATATAAACAAATAAAATTCAATGTGTAAAAATATTAGACCAACTATGTTAATTACACGGTTACAATAAATTGTTTAATGGTTGTTATAAAATTAAGCTTGAGAAAGTGATTCGACTCGCCAGTTAACTATTATATTGTTCACACTTGTATAAATCGTGTTATTTTTAGCTATATAATGTACATGATATATCATTTATTCAATATGAGCTTTATAATTTCGATAGTTTGTACGAGACCCTCGGTCGAGGATGAGCGATAAAACATAAAGGATGTGATTCCAGCGTCGGTGCCGCCGGAGCCCAAGACGTACGCGAACCTGCTGAAGTCCGGGTCGGGCCTCGGCGGGCCGCGCGTGTCGCCGCCCGCGCCGGCCGCCCCGCACGCGCCGCACGCGCACGAGCCGCGCCCGCGACACGCGCGCCCCCCGCACGCCGCCCCACCGCCCGGTAACTGCACCCGCTCCTTACACCGATTGCGTTTCAGCGATCTATTGAACGTTTCATTAGTCATCACTAGTCATTTCATAAATACTAGAACAGATACACGTATCACGTAATCAAAAAAAAAAAGTATTACATCTCGATGAGTTTCACCTATATTCCTATTGTCATGCTCGTGATTCTTGTTCACACGTTTTTTGATATGTGTAACGAAGTTATATATTTTACGGTGAAGACTCGATTATCCGAATCCGATTCGTTAGTATATTTTAGTTATTGTGATAGATAGAAATTGATTATTTAGATAAATGGATACGCTATCTAGAATTAATGTCTATACGTAGATGGAGTAATAACTTTTAAAGAGTTGACAAGATTGAAAAATATCGCATTTTTCATGTTTAAGCATTCAAATTACTGTTACCACCGATAAGTCATTCGAGTGATTTAATATAAAAATACATTTTTTTTACTCCGGATTTTGGCCTGACAGTTGACAATTATTAATAAAAAAAGTTTTTAAGGTCGATTAGGTACCTACGATTGCAATAGAACGTTAACCATAGACAGAGTTCGAATCGCCATACGAATTCGAACACGACGTTGTAATATAACGACGATGCGTCTGTTTCAGCGGAAGGTGGCGGTCGGCGCTACTCGGACGCGCAGCAGCTGTTCCTGGGCAACCTGCCGCACTACGCCACCGAGGAGGAGCTACGCGCGCTCTTCGCACGTTTCGGGCCCGTCGCCGAGCTGCGCGTGCACTCCAAGCCCGCCATTTCTGGCCCCTTGCGCCACCCCAACTACGGCTTCATCACCTACGAGACCAGCCAGGCTGCGCACGACTGCCTCAACGCCGCGGTGAGTACGACCAGCTGCCCCCCCCCCCCCCCACTCCCCCCACTCCCTCGCCCGCAGCGCCGTGTGAGTGCGATAGTAACGCGTCCCTGTCCGCAGCCGCTGTACTTCCCGCCGGACGCGCTGGACGGCGTGAAGCTGAACGTGGAGGAGAAGAAGGCGCGCGGGGCGGGGCGCCGCCCCCCCTCCACGCAGCGCGCCTTCCCGCCGCGCGCCACCTACCGCCGCTAGCCGCCCACCGCCGCTAGCCGCGTCTGGCCGCCCGGGACTAGTAGCTAGATAGTAAATTAATAATTTGGTACCTCCACGGCGTACCGAGTGACTTTCTAACCGAAACTCACTTTTGGGCTAAATTATACAAAACTCAACTCGACCCCTTTCGTAATATATTTATAAACTTCGAAGCGATTTCGTAGTGAGCTTTTGCAATCGTCGTTTAGATCCCGCCTCGGCGTGCGACCGCATCCTCCGCGCTCGGCCCGGGACGCCGCGAGCCGCATTACTTCGTGGGTTAATCATAAACAAAAATGAACTTTGGTTAAATATATGTAAATAAAAGTTGTTCTTAACCTTTGAACTGCGGTCGGCGGACCCGGTGTGCGCGTAACTATCGATATACATTTTTGTCGGGTTCCTCGCCTACGGATGTTAGTTAATGTTAGAAACGGCCACTGATACGGTTTCCTGTAGAATGTTATACTAACAACGGCGCCGGCGTCGTAAACCTCACACGAAAATATATCGAAATTAATTAGCGCTCCACGTGACAGCGCAAGTCACACCGACTATAGCTCGGACTCGTCTCACGACGACGGACGGGTTCCTCTGCCTTCCACTAGTGTAACTACACACTCACGACCGCACTCCGATTCGCTTCACTTGAATACAAACATATATATTGTTAAAATATACTCGTTAAGCGACAAAAACTAAATGTTATTTCGCTCCATCGCCAAAAATGGAGCGGAATACCATCATTGATAAAACCTCTGTGGTTTAAATATAATCACTTGTCGACCGGTGAGTACGGTAATACAATTAGTATTAATATTGAAACAACGTCATTTGAAGTGAAGCGAATCCGCTAGGTTAACAGAAACGGTCGCCTCTTTCACTTCTTCAACGACTTATTATTTTGTAGAGATCGTCCTAATATCGGCTGTTTCTGTGTGTGATTGTGGAAAGACTTAAGTGTTCTTAGAAATTCTATTCGGAACTACTCGTTGAGTGGAGTCAGTGCCAGTGCCCAGGACATTATCGCTGCGCCTCGTTCTAAATCGTGTATTAAATGTGCGAGCTCCCGGTAGGCATGGCGGCCGGCTAGGCGCGGTAGCTACGGTAGACACTTTCAGTTCAGCCGATCTCATCGTGCGCCGAGTACCGAATCGGATTTCCTTAGCGTAGAAATGACGGGCTCACCCTATTTAAAAAAAACGATAATTAGAAAAAAATAAAATACCTATGAGTGTAAATAGTTGTTAGGTTTTATTTTCAGCCCCGTCGCTACTCGAACGGCAAATAGTTTCTAGACTAGCTCCGAAATATTTCCAGAACTATAAATAACGTATTTTGTATTTAAAAATGTATGTTATGTGTCGGTATGCGTAACGATATTGATGCAGATGTTCTTATGCATTTACTTAGGAGTGTATTGAAGTAATTATGTGACGGATGCGACACCGCAGTAGCGCGCGGGGCGAGCCCGCCGCCATCTTGCCTCGTATACCTCGGACGCGTGCACGCCACTCATTAGCCTCTGTCATCTCTTCACGTGCTCATTATTAGTTAGCGTTTTAAATTTATTATTACTATTGTATATCTAGTGCATGTTCTTGCTTAGAAATCGTATACGAAACAAGATGGAGTCGCGACGTATTCTACGTAATCTGTGCCGCGTACGCGTACGTATACGTCACGCGTACACATCGCTGTACAGGACACGTACGCAGCGTACACAGTGCCGGCCGACACTACTGCGTGCCAGCATCGATGATTTGAAACTGTATTATATTAATTATTCTAATATTATTAATATTAGTTTAAAAAACTAAAAAATGGCAGTGACTATTTTTTATTTAGTTTTTCATGTTTTTTTTTACCTGTACTACTAATACGTCGTAAGTACATTGTTTTTCTACTGAGTCGCGAGTTTCCGCAAGTTCCGATCGTTCACGAAACAAAATTTGGTGTACTTATTTAGTGTAAATGATACTGGCGAGCCTCGCGCCGCCGCCCCCCCAGCCCCACAGCCCCACCGCGGACGGACATCGCGCTCTCTCACTCCATCACTTGGGCAAACATTCGTTTATAAACAATATTTGGTATTTCGTCATAGATTTCTATTCTGTACTATTACTCCGAATCCGTTACATACTTGGACAATAAATCAGATATTATAGACGATGCTTGTTATTGATGCGGCCGTCGGCGTCATGTGTATAAGAATAGTCCTTACAGTTTTTTGAAGCATAATATAGTTATCAAACGATACACCCTATGCTTAGTATCAGCTTTTATTTTTGAAATAAACATTCGTTTCCATAAAAAACTACTAATAAATATTTTTAGGCAATATGTAACGATATACAAATAATTGTAACTAAACGTACGGTTGAAAGGCTGTTCGTCTTCAAGTGAGAATCGTTTGCGATTGGCGATGTGTTGTATTTGAGTACGAGGGATTTGTGATCGATTCCGTTCGGAAAGTGGGCGTTAGTTGTGTGGCGCGATGTCCCACTGCACCACGCACGGCTTTACTTGCAAACGTCGGCCAGACAACACGCGCAGTCGCTCCGTCGGGACTCGCGCAGCCCATGCCGTCACCGTTTGCAAGTAAAACGATAAGTATCCGCGTAAACAAAGTTCAGACCCCACGCGACACCTCGGTATAATAAAAATTGTTATCGGTGTTAACTCTCCCGGTAAATCTAAGGGATATCGGGTGGACATCTGATTTAAAGTCTAAATGCGTAAATCGGGAGTTAATCTCGATAACATTGTTAGGCTACCCGCTGTGTCAACCGAGTTGCCGGTCAAACAGAATGGTTACGGGTGCACTACGAGTGATGTATTATCGCGATTAGGTCCCGATTTACACATGTAATGTTTATAAAAACTATAAGTGCAATGTATTAGTTGCATTTGAACACCGAAACGATAATTGTGTGGTCTCAATTTTGTGCGCTTTGTTGGATTGTATCGAGTCAAATATTGGGCCCTGATGGTATACATGCTAGAGTTGCTTACTGTGGGCCGCCTTAAGGACGTCTTAACTGCAGCTAAAGTTTAAACCATTCAATACTAACTTCACAGTTTCTTTTTACTTTTGTAGACTCTAAAATATTCACTTTTCGCTCTTTTACTAGTCTTGTCACCTTCGTACCGAGTTTATAATTGGATGGTACAAGTGACCCTAATTAGTACTTTGTACCATTTTGGAAAATAAGTGATATTGAGTTATCCTCTGAATTTGTGTCGTACCTATTTATTAACAATCACACCTAGATATTTTCCTTCCATCGCTCGAACTTTATGTGTAAAGGTACGATGATATCAATGCAGTCATGGCGTTCATAAGTGTACCTCGCCCAATATTTAGAGCATTGTATATGAGCGATAGATGATAATATTGTTTGTGGATAATTACGCTAGATATATACTTGTAATAATAATCCATCAGGGCTCTGCTCCCAGGCAGGTAGTTATTAAGGTACTAAACACTGTAACATCTACATGGTCAAAGAATATCTACCAGTGGTACTCGCACCGTCTACGGTACAATATATGGATGACGCGTGACGACTGGTAAATATTCTATATACCTACTTTAATAATAGTGCTGATCGCAGATATATTAGAGGACAATCTTCAAGGCTATCTGCTTAGTAATATTAACATACGTATGTAGTGATACGATGGGGTCTAAAATTTGTGTGATACGGTGTTTTTGTTCGGTTCATGTATGCGCGGCGCGGCGCGTGGCGCCACAGCGCATCGCTCGCGCCACGCGCCACGCGCCGCGCTGCCAGCTCTAATAGAGATGTACTTTTTGTAACAAAAAACTTGTTTTATTTTTACAACTCCCGATATACGTACCTTTCCTTCGTCCCATAACACAACTAAGCCACGAAATGATAATAACATAAACCAATTCGGTGGTGATAGCAAAATAATTACAAAATGGTACCCAAGAGAAGGTAAAAGGAAAAGAGGCAGACAACAAAAAAGATGGGATGATGATATCAGACAGGTTGCAGGCTTAACATGGAATAGAGTAGCCAGGGAGAGATCAGAATGGAGAGGAGGCCTTGCCAACTCGCAAACGTATTTACAGAGAGTAAAAAAGCACCACATACGCGAATAATTTTAGTTGTGTAAAATATATAGATAACGGTGCAGTAGTGTAAGAAACATAATTCTGTATCTGTTCGAATAAACAGGCTCTATTATTATTATAAATCTGCCGCTTAGGTAAACTAAGTCATAAAAAACATAGTCTTGGTAGTACTTGCCATATACCGTTATCTACTCGCATATAATTTTATATTTTTAATCTACTTTATTCATTTCATTTCTTACACTTTAAACTTCTTGAAACATGATAATATTAAATTCCAAAACCGTCCCTATCTGAACTGACATGATGGAACATGGAACATGGTGATGTTAAAGAGTCCTAAACACCTCAAGAATCGTATCTTGATACACTTGTGCCAATGTTTTGACACATTTTTCACAAAAATGAAGTACTAGAATATACATGGTTCAAAGTGCTATATGATTTTCCGAGGTATATTTTTTTAATGTGATTAATTCGAATTCTTTCCTTTATAGCTTTTGCTTTAACGTGGACGGCCAGATCTTTGTCACAAACAGGTTTCATTGTACCTATCGATAGCCCGGTCGGTACACAAACATTCGACTAATACACTTTAATATCGCAGACCCGATTGGCGCGAAAATGAGAAAAGAATGAATATTCATTTATGAATGACAGCTTCCAAATTTAGATGTATTTTTTTAATGTAATAGCAATTAATGCCATGGCCATACAAAAAGGCAGAAAAAAAAATGTCCATAATAAAAAGCAGCATACGTCACATATTCTATGGAATCATATGCAAGTGCAAGACTAGAGATAAAAGCAATTATTCTAAACGAATCTGAAAATCAACAGATTTTTACATGTTAATGGAAAAAAGGAAGTACCTATTTACTCGACAATCTATACT